GGTTTTTATCTCCTATGTAAATGAGACCAGGATGCTGGAAGTGGGAGCTAGACTTTGGCCTTTAACTTGGTCTAGGTTGGCCCTTCACTATTCTTTCTTTATGTGTGTATAGATACCTTTTGGCTTTCTATCTACATGGAGAGCCTTAATAATGTTAATCCCGTCAAGTAGCATGTTAAAAAAAATCACTCTTACGAAGTAGTTTACCCCACACCATGGACCCCTACATTCATGTCTTCAACTTAATACAAAGTGTTTTTTTTTAAATATACGAAGTATTTGTTAATAAATGCTATATATGTTTCTAGCTTTCCCTATCCTTTTGTATCAGTGTATTATACAAACATTATTGGGCACTAACCCAATCACGCATCGCGCATCAAAATAACTGGTTTCAATAATAAATACCATCGACTATGTCACGCAGTGTAAATGCTTTGGTTAAAGGTTTATCTTATAAATGTAACACAAAATGGCAATTGTGGACTTCTTTGATTTAAAAAATTTGAATAAAAAATTTCTAAACAATTTAAAAATCACTAAAAATGAAGATCCTAAAAAAATCAAAAAATATTTTAAACATGCACGGTTGATATTTTTCACATAGAGGTTCTGAGCTGAAACGTGAAAGTCTTACAAACAGACGTGGTTCATGAACAAATAATTTAATACAACCGTCTCTGTAATTCATGAACAAATAATATCATCGTATGAGAAAATATATTTATTGTAATGCCGTATGTCTAAAAATTGGATGTTGTGATTATCTCTGAATTCACTACTCTTGAAAAGTATTGAAAATATAGGTGAATTTATTCGTGGGTTTGAATTAGAAAATGATGAATTTAAAAAGAATAAGAAAAAATTCCACTTATATTACTAGTAGAAGAGTCATGGACATATGTATTACTACTAAAGATGACTTATTATTTAAATGCTAACACAACAATTTCCTTGTTCCTATTTTACCTTCAAGTCTAGTTATATACCGGCAAATAGATTAGACTCCACTTTCACCCAAAACTCCTACTGACTACCTACCTGGCTACCCTGGCGTGCTAAGTTATCGTTCATTCCTACCCCTTCTACCATCTTCTTCGCAAACCCACATATGGCAGTTTCTTTGTATAGTAGAGCCTTCTTAAAACATGTAAGTTACTATATCCAGTGCACATAGTAACTACATCATACAATAATATACCTAAGCCACCTTAATTAATTCAGTGTCCATCAATTACCATCAGTCAGTATGGCTAAAGTGCCTTCATCACAGTCACTTATAATTATAACTAGTTTGTGTACCCATGCGCCGCACGGTAAGATATATGTTTAAAGTTTTTCTTAAATTAATATGGACTGCGGATTGTATATGAATTCGTCAATCGAAGTTTAAAAGAGAACTCAGTTGATTATAAATACAGATGTCAAAATGAGTCGACCTCCACCGGGCTTGCTCGTTTCATGGTGGATTGTATTTAAATATAACCTGATTAGCTCATTGGTTTCGTGGGTCAACATGCACAGGTTGTGGGCTGACTTTACAGCTTGCGATTGGTCAAAATATAAATATCTAGTTTTGACTTTCACTATCTTATTTTTGTTTGTTTACTACAAAAATATTTCAAATTGCATGCTTATTATTTAATACAGAACCATCATATTTGTGTCGGTCCTTTTAGTTCTCTTTTATTCAAATTGCTTGAGTAATGAGGCGTGCTGCTTTATATCAAGAATATAGTAACTTTTAGAATTTTTATTACATTATTTAATGTGTATTCAATTGATTTGAGTATAAGTATTTAGAATGATTTTTTTATATTACTGTGGGGTAACTTATATAAGTATAAGTATTTTTATAATAATTTATTGATTTTTTTACATGAAGCTTCTCGTGAAAATGAAAATGAGCCCAATAATATAATTCTTGAAAATAAAGTATGCTCTCACTATATTTTGAATTGTGGCCTAACTTATATTTCTTTCTCAATTATGTTTATAAGTTTTCTTAATTGTATTTTTACAAAAAAGATTAGAGTTTGATATTCATTGCTTTGAGTTTGTATCTAATTACAAATAGACCTACTCTTACTCGGCCTAATCAAAGAACAACCATATAGTCCATCAATCAATATGAGTCGTGGAGATACTACCTAAAAATCGATCAAATTGGTGTGATCAGTTGAAGTTTTACAAATCGTTGCTGAAATGGTTGGATCAGGTGAATGGAAAAATAAAAAACTCATTCCAACGCTATTTTGATTATTACTCATTCAAACACGTGAAATAAAAACTTCGTGTTTGATAAAAAAGTTAGCTGCTGATTACTAAACCAGATTTCAATATTTCCCACCACATTTCTAAAATATTTCAAAGAGGAAAAAACTATATTTATTTGTAGGTTTGAATGAGAAAATGATGAATTAGAAAAGAATAAGAAAGAATTCCACTTATATTACTAGTAGAAGAGTCATGGAAATAAATAATACTAAAGACGACTTATTATGAGAAAATGATGAATCAGAAAAGAATATGAAAGAATTCCACTTATATTACTAGTAGAATGAGTCGACCTCCATCGGGCTTGCTCGTTTCATGGTGGATTGTATTTTAATAACCTGATTAACTCACTAGTTTCGTGGGTCAACATGCACAGGTTGTGGGATGACTTTACAACTTGCGATTGGTGAAAATATAAATATCCAGTTTTGACTTTCACTATCTTAATTTTTTTTGTTTACTACGAAAATTATTTCATATTATACACTTATTATTTAATACAAAACCATCACTTTTTGTCGGTCCTTTTAGATCTCTTTTATTCAATTGATTTGAGTAGAAGTATTTAGAATGAATTTTTTTATTGTTTATATAAGTATACATATTTTTTATAATAATATATTTACATGAAGATTCGACACACGAGCTTACATGAAGCTTCGACACACTAGAAATGTTTCTTGTGAAAATGAAAACTAGCCCAATAGTATGATTCTTGAAAATAAAGTATGCTCTGACTATAATTTGAACTGTGGCCTAACTTATATTTCTTTCTCAATTATGTTTATACGTTTTCATAATTGTATTTTTACAAAAAGATTAGAGTTTGGTAATCATTGCTTTGAGTTTGTATCTAATTAAGAATATACCTACTCTTACTCAGTCCTAATAAAAGAACAACCATACAATTATCACTGTATGATTATCTTTATAATTGATGACCATCAATCAATAAGAGTCGTGGAGATAATATCTAATAAACGACGAAATTTGCATGACCAGTTGAAGTTTTGCAAATTGTTGCTGAAATGGTTGGATCAGGTGAACGGAAAAATTAGATTTAAAATACATTTCATTAATAAAATTAGGAAAAATACATGAAACATAGGTAAAATGGTGTTCTACAGTCACTTCATCCAATTGAGTCACAAAAGTAACTCCATCCATAACTATTTTGATTAATACTCATCCCGGCGCGTGAAATAAAAACTTCGTGTTTGATAAAAAAAGTTAGCTGATAAGCTAAAAGCATGGGTTACTAAACAATATTTCAATATTTCTCACCACGGTTCTAAAATATTTCAAAGAAATGAAAATTCGAGTATCTTTAAATTTACCTGTGAGCATTAGTAAAATTACAGGAAAAAACTACATGTATTTGTGGGTTTGAATGAGAAAATGATGAATTTAGAAAAGAATGAGAAAAAAATCCACTCATATTACTAGTAGAAGAGTCATGGACATAAATAATACTAAAGACGACTTATTATTTAAATGCTAACACAACAATTCCCCTGTTCCAATCTTACCCCGAGGTATAGCTCTATACCCGCAAGCCCTGTTCTAAAAATCGGCCTAGTCGGACCGATTAATCGGTCTAGGCGGCCTAGGCGGCCCTAATTGTAGATTCCTAGTCGGTAAAAAATCGGCCTAGTCGGCCAAAAAATCGGCCTAGTCGGCCGCCTAGGCGCCCCCAACCGCCCGACTAGCGCCTAGCGAGTTTTAGAACAATGCCCGCAAGTAGATTAGACTCCATTTTCACCCAAAACTCCTACCGACTACCTACCCGGCTACCCTAGCGTGCTAAGCTATCGTTCATTCCTATCCCTTCTACCATCTTCTTCGCAACCCCATGTATGACAGTTTCTCCGTAGAGCCTTCTTAAAACATGTAAGTTAATATTCAGTGCACACAGTAACTACATCATACAATACTATACCTAAGCCACCTTAATTAATTGATTCATTGTCCATCAATTACTACCGAGTCAATTACTAAATCACAAGTTACAACTATAATAAAGTTACTATATAGTTTGTATTATATTTATTGCTCACACAAAATCTCCAATGGGAAATAATACAAATGAAACCAAACTATTGTGGCCTGATTTCTATTCCCCTAAATAAATCAAAAACATTGTATCATGACTCACAAAGTAATTTATTTGCATCACACCAATATGTGAAATCAAACCCACCCTCAAATACAACTTCAAGTAACTCCCGCAAATTAGGTCTGGATCTAAAAGCTTGGTAACCGTTGGGGTAATCACGACATTTTATTTCAGGAAAATTCTTAGTGTACATGAGTTGTACACAACCTGTACACAAAGCCCACACAGCTGCCTGTGTACACATGCAATTCGTTTAAAAAGGGGCATAACTTGATGTCGAATTTCCCGTGTACACAGGCAATGTACACATTTTGTGTACATTTTGTATACAACAGGAATGGTCCCTTATTTTATGCTCTTTCCACCGTGCCTACGTTTTTTTATTGAATATTTACTTCTAGTCGCTTTTTTGTCTAACTAATTAGTAATGGTAATGTATTAATAGAAACTCAAATAATAATATCAAGGTACTTTTGTCAAAATGGGTGAAACATAAATATTCCTTAAATAAGTTAGAAAGGAGATATGCGGATTTTATAAAATGAATTTTAGATGTTTAATAAAATGAATGAATTGCAATACAAATACAAGAAAAAGGATTGGAATTGGAATTAAATATATTATCTTTGAGCCGCCTCGATCCTCCTCCTCGCTCAGTTGAGTGAGTCAATTCTAGGTGACGGAGCACTGGTTCTTGGGCGGGTGAAGCAAGCAAGGCAGATGGAAGAGGAGCTGAACAGCCATCCCTCCGATGGACAAACGCGAAATCCGGCTGCTTATCCTAGCGGCGTCGGGCTTGGTGAAGGAGCTGAGGCTGAGCTGTTGGTGAAGGAAGCCAAGCCAGAGAAGGAAGAAGAGAAACGAAGAAAGTGAGCATTCCATTCACTAATTAAAATCAGTTCCCACACCGACCAAGCCAGAGAAGGAAGAAGAGAAACGAAGAAAGTAAGCATTCCATTCACTAATTAAAATCGGTTCCCACACCGACGCCGGATGGCTGAGCGACTCCTGGCTGGGTCTATAAATACAAGGGTACAGTTGCAGATATACTCACCCTTTGGGACTGACCAAGTCCCGCTGGGTTGGGCTGGCCACCCTTTGGGGCCGGCTCTGGCTCCCTCTTTGGGCGCCATTAGGCTTAGGTTAGGTAGGTAGTTAGGGCTAGGCTTAGGTTAGTTTAGGCTTAGGCTTAGTTTAGGCTAGCTTAGGTTTAGGTTAGGCTTAGGGCGGTGGGGGCGTTATGCTGCCTCCATGCCGTCCTGGGCCGCCCGGGGTGGCGTTATGCTGCCTCGCTGGCGCCTCGTGGCGCCAACCCCCCCGTGGGGGGGGGGTAGGGGGGGGGCAGGAGGATTATGGGGGGAGTCGAGGGGAGGTAAGAAAGCGGGGAAAGGGGAGAAGAAGGGGAGAAGAGTCGAGAGGGAAAGTGAAAGAAAGAAATAGAAAATTAAGACAATTAAATAATATTAATTAATTAATTAATAATAATAATTAAGTTATTTAGTTATTATTAACTTAATTAATTAACTTCATACGTGTATGAGATATATAATAGCCTCATAGATATATAATAGCCTCATAGGGATGTCTAGCCAAAGAGGAAGAAAAAGGAAAATTAAGAGGAAGCAGAAGGGGAAAATTAAGACATAGGAAGAACACTTGCAGCTGAAGCTTCTCCTAATGTCAGCTGGTACCATGGGCCAACTTCAGCAATTCTAATTATTTTCACTTCATCTACTATTGAGTTTCTTCTTCTGCAAACTCGTGTTTTTGTGTTGAGTGTATAATAATAGCCTCATAGGTACCATGTATTACTCATGTTCGCTGTTTATCTACACATGTGACTTTTCATAGTCATCATGAAAACGAAAATGAGTCGAGATTTATCCTGCTAGGAATTTTCTCTCAACACCAGTGTCTTCTGTTAAATACAATTGAGCTTGACGATCAATCAGAGGCCACCTTAATTCCCATCCAATCTTAGCTTTGAGAAACTGCCTGGGAAGTTACAATTCCCATACAAACTATCCATCTTAGATTTATCCACAGTCATGTATGAGTTGTGAGCGGTTATGATGATGGGTCTCTTGCTTGGCTTTCAAAGTAGACAAACTATCGTTCTCATAAATTTGAGACTGTTCAGGGTTTGTCAGTACGATAAAAGAATTGATGAGCCCAGATGACCCTTCACTTTAAATGATCGTTTCTTCAGATCTCCTTTCACCCCTTTCCTTTGCATCAGTTATCAATACAACCCTGTCTAAGGCTATAACACACCTTTCCTTGGAAACTCAGAGCAACATTTTCAATTGTCATTATTTTTTTTTACTTGATGTGTCATATTTTTTGGTCCATCAGTAAGACTTATCTCTTCAAGTAACACAGGTTTTGAATTCGAGCTGGAATCTGAATCAACCCTTTTCGCCCCTTCTGGATTATCGGGGGGATATCCCGTGGATTGAATAATATCATCATTTTGAAGGTGATTATGTCGTCCTTATGCTGAAGTTCGCTGGTGAGTGGAAAACGATTGCCAAATTTGCGTTTTGACGTAGCTCAGCTGCTCAAACGTTGATAAATTTGAAAGTAGAATTTAGAATTGTGCCCTTCTTTCTATTACCTTAGGGATTACAAATGAGTGGGAATGGTGCACACAGACTGAAGTTCAAAGCTTCGCCACAGTTGAAGAAGATGTTTCCTTATTTGTATTAGGGGCTGTAGGGAAGGGGGGCGGGATGGAAGCAAGGAATGAGAAGAGGAAAGCTTCAGCTGCCTGTGTAGTAGTAAAAGGGAGGTGGGTAACTACCTACTTGTTTGTAATGCTGGAACTGCTAGTGTACTAGAAGAATAAGGGCACTACCTACTCGTTGGCAAATGTACTATAGTGTGATGTTATCTGCTTAATTATTGATGTAGTGATATTTTAGAATTAGAAATTACCAGATATGGGAGAAAAGAGAGAACGAAGGAGACAAAGAGATTGGGAGGAGAGATAGTCTGCGATTTTTGTCCCTTTCCCTATTTGCTCTAACCGTATTTGTAGGAATGGGGGTGGGGACCCCTACATAACAACCCACTTGCTAATATTAAAAAACTGAATTTATGTTTATTACATTATAGTTCTATTAATAATTTAGCTATCAGGAGTCTTTTAGAGGCCCAACTAAAAATAACAAGTAAATCACGACCATATATGACAATTCTCCCCTCTTGAGAAAATCCTTGTCCTCAAGGATTGGTAGGTGGTATGGAATTCCCGTAGTTGGCTGAAGTCGAGCAACTGGCAGTGGATTCTTCCTTTTTTTCATGTGACAGAAACAAAGCGGGCGACACACTGGCCCTTTCAGCATTCTTACTAGCTCTTGCTGGGGTTGGCAGAGGAGCAGAGTTATCATCTTGGTTAACCTCTGGGAGCTGTGATGCCACTATGCCACTACTGCGTGGGAACTGATGCAACGCTTCAGTAAGGAGACATGGAAATCAGGGTGAATCTTCGCTTCTTCAGGCAAATCTAGACGGCCGGTAAGCCACTTTCCCCACCCTTACCAAAACAGTGTACGGACCATAGTAGTGAGCTGATAGTTTCTGATTTCTGCGTTGAATTGAATTTTGTCGGTAAGGTTGTAACTTCAGATATACTTGATCCCCTATTGCAAATTCTATGTCTACCCGTGTGTGCCTGCATAAAGTTTCATTCTTTCTTGTGCCAGCTTAAAATTTTCTTTGAGCTCCTGTCTTTTTTGCTGTCTTTGGGTAATTAGTTCCCAAATTTTAGTACTGGTTCCTGTAGAGTTGGGGTGTTGTGTCCATATGTTGAGACCATCCTGCAAACTCAGAGAAGAATTCTGCGATTTCGAAGAGACTTGTGCAAGGTGAGAAGCAGTTTGAGAAGGATTCTGCGAACAAGGATCTTCTGCTGGTGACGAAATCAGCGCATTCGAGGTCACCTGTGAACTAAGGAGTTCTGTTAGGGATGAAGTTGAAGCGACTTGGGATGACATCTGATTTTCAGTTGGCCGACGGAGTCTAGGAGGGCTCCTCACTTGGCCTGTAGGTCTCCGGCGACGCGAAAGTTCGCGCATCTTTTTCAACCAGATTCGCATATCCTTCCCCCAATCACTTTTCCGCCAGCTTCTCCACTTTTCCGTGCTCAAACTTTTTTGCTAGCTTCTCCCCTTTTCCGCGCGAAGCATCCTGATCAGATCTTCCATGTTCCCTGCGACACACGCTTCTCAGTGTTCGCGTGCAAACCAGGGGCAACTGACCTTCGACGTTCCCTACGCTGCTCCATTTTTTTTATCGTGTGACTTAGATCGAAGCTTCCCAGGGACAACGATTTTGATACCAATGTTAGGGACCTCAACAACGCAGCAGAGTTTTAGTATTATATTGATTAAAAAACTAAGAACACAGTAGTGATTACAATGGTAGAAACGAGAGATCAACGTAAACTGAAAATTACAGGGTTGAGGCTCTTCAAGAGAGCCTCACTCTCCCAGCCTAATTCCAACTGAAATTCTGGCTACCTTCTTCCTCCTTCCCCCTTTTATATCATTTCTCTTCTTAAGGGCTAGCCACTGGTCCATATTTCATGAATTACATGGCCCAAAACATTAACTTATACAATAACACTATTAATAATACTCTGTTATTCTTATTATTATTGGTTGTCTATGCCCCTATCAAATAATGATCAAACTCCACTGACTAATAAAAGCTTTGGAATGTTAATTATTACCATAGTCACTATAACTACTTAGTTATTCCTACTACTGCAGTCGGAGGACTCAGTGTTAGGGCACAGACACAAATCAAAGCTAAAACAGTAAACGAACACACAGATCTTATGAACAGAGATGGAAATAGATGTATATTGATGAAATAGGTAATCCGTAGGCAGTACAGGGACTTCTTAGGCAACTGGGACTCTTAGGCAACAAGGCAACAGTTCTCAAAATAACAGTCTACCTACTAAGGCTATCCCAGCTTCTATTTATAGCCAAAAGTCCACGCAGGGACTAAATAGACAACTAAATAAGCTATAGACACTTAATAAGCTATTTAACTCCCCTAACCCCCTTATTTAAGACTACTGATTAGGATGATGCCTAACATTACTCCCCCCTAAACAACCACCTTGTCCTCAAGGTGGGTGATAGGACACAGCCTTGATTTTGAACTTCCTCTTCATCTTGGAACCTCTTCCTTCCCAGTACCTCCCGGATTTCCCACCCAAAAGAAGCTTGTTTATTGCTCCTTTTGCTGTTTCTATAAACCAGTCATCATTTGGTAAAGCACTTGGTACAATGCCCCTAACCGAATATGTCCTGGTCACCCGAGACATTATATCCGATGCTATTTGATGCACTATCCTGGAAGGGTATCCAGCAACCCGTGCTATCTCTACGGTGTAGTGCATTTCCAGCATTATATGCTGCAATCCATGTTGTGTAAGAGGAGCAGAACTATCCTCTAGAACACCCCAAAATTCTTGCTCATCATGCCGCCACATGACCCCAATCTCAATCAGCCCGGCAAGCAAAACCTTCTGTATTTTCTCCCTCCCAATTAGTATGTCACCCGCCACAGTTGCTAACTGCTGCAGCTTACAGTTCTTCACTGTAAGGAGCAGAAACAATATCTTGGTGGAAAAATGCTCCCTGGTGCTGCAAAAGTTAGAATCTCTTGGCATCTGCATCTCCTGTTGTGTCCTTTGCTTGTTTTCCAACATCTCTTTAAGAGAATTGACCTCATCTTGTTCAAGACCATGAACCATTTCAAAAGCATCTGGAAAGGGTAAAAGAATCGGGTAAAAGGCTATGATGACTAGGTTTAAGTATTTAATAAAAGAATCGGGTTTCATTGAATTTCATAATAACTTGTACAAGGGTTTTATCATTCTCCAAGTTCTTTTCCTGCTTTGAAGATAGTTCGTGCCTCCAGTTACATTGAATGACTTATGTTTCATCATCTGTCAGGCACCCTTTTTAAATTAGAAATTGCTCTGTCAAAGGAAATAAGAACACTGGCAGCTGAAGCTTTTCTTAATGCCAGCTGGTACCAAGGGCCAACTTCAGCAAGTCTAAAGTATGTTATTTTCACTTCATCTACTATTGTGAAGATCCAGGCCTCAGTTACATTTGAAACTAGAAATTTAGTCTTCTGTAAACTCATGTTTTTGTGTTGAGATACATAATAATATAATAATAGCGTCATAGATATATAATAATAGCCTCAGAGGAGAGTGGAATCGAGGGGAATCCGGGAAAGAGAAGAAGAAAGGGGAAACGGGAAAGGAAGGGAGAGAGTTCTTTTTTGCCTCAAGACTTCTACTTTTATGGTCATTTGCTTTGAAGATAAGGATTGGAAGGATATCCAAGTTCTTTTTTGCTCAGGTTTGAATTAGATTATATCCAAGTTCTATCATCTGTCCGGCAGCCTTTTTAAATTACAAATTACTCTGTCAATCATTTAAATTACAAGTTACAAATACCCTTTTTAAAGCTGGTTACTAGTACAATTCTGAAGTATGTTAATTTCTCTTTGGCTGTTTATTGGTCCATCAGTTTCACTTCCCTTTGCCTGTATGGTGTCTCATAGGTATTATTTTGAACTTGTGAGTGGAAAACGATTGCTCGGGTTGCATTTTGACATAGCTCAGCTGCTCAAGCGTTGATAAATGTGGTTCTATGGGGGTATACTGTATATTACAAATGAGTGGGAATGGGGCACACAGACTGAAGTTCAAAGCCTCACCACAATTAAGGAAGCTGTTTCCTTATTTCTATTAGGAGCAGCGGAGGAGAAGAAAGGGGGAAAGGGAAACGGGTACAAGTGAAAGAGTAGAGAGAAGGAACAGGAAAGAAAGAGGAAGCAGAAAGGGAAAGTTATTGAATTCATAATATACAAGGGTTTTATTATTCTCCAAGTTCGTTTCTTGCTTTGAAGATAAGTCTTGCCTCCAGTTACATTGACGTATGTTTCATCAAAACTCCAAAGGAAATAAGAACACTGGCGGCTGAAGCTTTTCTTAATGCCAGCTGAAAGTATGTTATTTTCACTTCATCCACTATTGAGTTTCTTCTTTTGGTACCAAGGTCTATTATGAAGATCTAGGCCTCAGTTACATTTGAAACTAGAAATTTAGTCTTCTGCAAACTCATGTTTTTGTGTTGAGATGTATAATACTCCCTCCGTCCCCTTTTAAATGTCCCGGAAGAGGGTGGCACGAGTTTTAAGAAAAGTGGGTTTGTGTGGTTGATATTAATTGATTGATAAAGTAAGAATGATTTTGAGCCACACAAACTTTACCAAATAAGGTATGGGACAATTAAATAGGGACATTCCAATATGGCAAAACGAGACATTTAAAAGGGGAGGGAGTGAGTAATAGCCTCATAGGTATCATCTATTACTCATGTTCGCTGTTTATCTACACATATGACTTTTCATGGTCATCGTTAAAACGAAAATGTGTTGATATTATCCTGCTAGGATTTTTCTCTCAACACCAGTATCTTCAGTTAAATACAATTGAGCTTGACGACCAATTAGACGCCACCTTAATTCCCATCCAATCTTAGCCTTTGAAAAACTGCCTGGGAAGTTACATTTCCAATTCAGAAAACTTGACTTTGCCACAGTCATGTATGAGTTGTGAGCGGTTATTTCTACTGGATAAGGAGTCTGTCAGCCTCATGATGGGTCTCTTGCTAGGGTTTCAAAGTAGACAAACTAATGTCTTCATAAAATTGAGACTGCTTAGGGTTTGTCAGTACGATAAAGGAATTGAGATCTCTGCTTTCCTTATCACAAACACTTGGTATTGCAATAATATCTCCCAGGGATCTCAATTTGATGAGCCCAGATGACCCTTCACATTTAATGATCGTTTCTTCAGATCTCATTTCACCCTTTTCCTTTGCATCAGTTATCAATACAACCCTGTCTAAGGCTAACACACCTGTCATTGCATAAAACAATTGGAACCTCAGAGCAACATTTTCCTGCCCAAAAATTATGAATAATGTGTCCAAGTGTGATATAGATTCCTGCCCTAAAATACACTTGCTCTTCTTGGCATATAGCTGAAGCCCCAAGAGAGAGATAATTCTCAATCTTCCCAGAAAATAATAAACAGTCAAAATAGCCTCCCTCTATTCTCACTTAACATCTATTTATAGTATCCCACTAACAGAATGTAGTTATTATCTCAAACAGAAATATAACTACACTAACTCTTTTATTTAATATCCTAATAGGTCTGTCCCTAACAATTCTCCCCCCCTAAACATCCACCTTGCCCTCAAGGTGGGTCAGGGTGATAGGACACAACCACAATCTTCTTCATTTCCTTCATCCTAGCACCTCTCCCCTTCCAATATTGACTTGCAAAATTCAGTATACTCCTTTATAAACTCATTCCTTCTGCCTTCAATTATCTGCTCTTGCTTCTGCGTATTACTTTGTCCCTCCTTGTGCCACAAATATCCATCTCCTTGAATAATATGATTCAACCCTTGTTTCTTCCATTTTATGATCTGGTTTTGGAAATTAACTTCCATATCACCTAGATCAATCAACCATTCCATTCCCAACACCATGTCAGTCCCACCTAGCTCCAACATATAAAATTTCTGTTGAATTTAATTGCCCTGCACATTCAGTTTCATCCCTTCACATCTACCATAGTTAGAGATCAAGTCTCCATTCCCTATTTGTACCTTATATCCCTTGATACCTTGGAAAGGTATCTTCCATCTTTCTACAAATTGTTGGGATATAAAGTTGTGGGTAGCACCACTATCAATCAAGATATTCATCTTTGCTCATTTTCTGACCATTTCAATTCCCCTTTTACCTTGAAAGTATTCGTAGAGGAGCTTCCTTCTTTACTTAAGACTGACAACTGCGTAGTCTTGGATCCCATATGAACCCCTTCTCCTACTTCTGAGTCACTAGTTGCAGTTTCAGATCCTTCCTCTCCTTCAGATTGTTCCATCAGCACCATTTTGAAGTTCTTCATCCTGCAATTGTGACCCCGGTTCCAGTTTTCACCACATTTAAAACATAATCCTCTTCTACTTCTTTCTTGCAGCGCATTCTGTGATAATCTGGGGCTTGTTTTCTTCTGAACCGAATTTGAAGATTCCTCCTTATCATCAACTGAATAGTCGCCAGATGGGTTCTTGGTTGTACTAGAACTCCCTCTATAGCCATTTCCCCATTTATGGTAACTTTGTCCTGTTAGATTTGTCTTCCATACCTTTTTCCCTTCCTCCTTGTTTCTTCTAGACAATACTTCATGATTCTTATGCTCAGTCAATAGTGCTGTGTCCATAATCTCAGCCAGATTCCTCGCATGACAAAGCTTCAACTCAGCTCTAATGTCCTTCTTCAATCCATTCAAGAAAATTCCCTTAGTTACCTTCCTGCTTAATTCACCATGAGAAGCCACACCCATTTCGAATTGTTCTCTGTAATCTTGAACTGTTCCCTTCTGCTTAAGACCTAATAAAGGTCCCAGAGGGTTCTGAACCAATTCCGGTTGAAATCGCCTAGTTAAAGCTGCCTTCAAAGTTCCCCAATTCCTCTCACGCGTTTGGTTCTCCCATCCTTGGAACCAGCTAAGGGCTTTGTCCTCCATAGCTACCACCGCTACGTTTACCTTATCATCCTCTTCGATCTGATTAAGACGAAAATAACGATCAATTCTGATTAACCACCCATAAGCATCTTCACCGTTGAATAACGGTAAATCAATTTTCCTCCCTGTTCGATGGTGGTGGTGGTGACTATATTCTCTGTGTCGGTGATGATGGTGATGTGGTGGTGAGTAGTGGTTGTTCCCTTCCGAGTCATCTGAACTCACTGATTTTAGTTCATGTTGTGACTGACGCTCCCGATGGTGGTGCTGATGGTGATGCGTAGGTTCATAGTCTGAGTTTTCTCCCGAATCTCCAGAGTGAGTTGATTTTCGTGAATGGCGTGATTGATGTTCGTGCAAAGTGCGATGCGAAGCGGTTGAAGCTTTCGATCTACTTCGCGATCGATCTTGCGCTCGAGCGTCCAATCTGGCGAGAAGAGTCGCCTGCATCTCTGCTAACATCTCCGTGGTCTGTTGTTGATTTCTGTCTACTTTCTCTTCCAGTTTGTTCATTCGTATATCCATCTTCGTTCTTGTCCAGACCATCCACAAAGATCGACGATGCTCTGATACCACTGATAGAACTGTCTAGGTATTGAGAAAATTTACAAAATATTATCAAAGAAAATTTCAAGAACAAGAACTGTAAACTTTATTGATGAAGAAGCTCAGTAACAATGGCCGAAGCCCCTGGCCGAAGCCCCAAGAGAGAGATGATTCTCAATCTTCCCAGAAAATACTAAACAGTCAAAATAGGCTCCCTCTATTCTCACTTTACATCTATTTATAGTATCCCACCAACAGAATGTAGTTATTATCTCAAACAGAAATATAACTACACCAACTCTTTTATTTAATATCCTAATAGGTCTGTCTCTAACATGGAGTCATCAGAATTTGGAAGTAGCCAAAACGTAAATCAATCTTTGAGAAGAATTGTGCCCCCCCTGAGTTCATCCTAAAAGGTGAGTGATCACTAATTACAACTGAAATTCTGCCTACCTTCTTCCTCCCTCCTTCCCCCTTTTATATCATTTCTCTTCTTAAGGGCTGGCCCATATTTCATGAATTACATGGCCCAAAACATTAATTTATACAATAACACTCTATTAATAATACTCTGTTATTCTTATTATTATTGGTTGTCTATGTCCCTATCAACTAATGATCAAACTCCACTTACTAATAAAAGCTTTGGAACATTAATTACTACCATAGTCACTATAACTACTTAGTTATTCCTACTACTGCAGTCGGAGGACTCAGTACTATCCAGAGTTGTTGATGTTAATGAGTGTTATTACTCTTGACGATGTATACTTGTACTTCGTCAAGTGGTGATCTTGTAAATAAAAATGACATAAAGAATATAAAACCAACATGATACCCTATGTTTACTTGATTTGGGAACATTTACTATTATCATGAAATTCATACTTAACTCCGTGGTCATCCACATAACTCACAATAATTGTTATCTGCTCTTTGACCGAATTACTACTTTATCTAATGGTCTCAACTTATCTTTTTTGCCAGATAAGTACTCATACTAAATTTGGGATTGGAAGCAGGGGCATTTCCCCCAGCCCCCAGGTCCTCTATGCCCTAGCGGGAGTTGTGAGCCGACGAGGAAGATGGGAGAAAGACACTCTCTAAAAGCCCCTACTGGCTTCAAAGAACAAGACACTGTCTGGCTTTAAGAAGTAATTCAATATCCCAATTTTGAAATAACTTTCGGTCCCATATATGAGTCTTCTCGTCGTTAAAAGCATATAAATGGGTTCTAAATTTTGAAGCCATGTGAAAAATCAATGCGTTTTTATACATTTTTTAATAAAATAACTTTAGGTCCCGTATATTTACTTTTCATTTTATGTGGCTCAATATTAATTCTTATCAATGAGAGTATATATGCTTGATAAGGTCTGCTTCTTTAAGTATTAGTTCTTAAGTATTAATGAATTTTTTGCTTACAACATATGTACTTGATTGCAGTAAAAGTTTAACTAATTATGCTTCATATAATCAACCTAGATAGTTTGAACTTAATATTAATTAGAACTGGGGCGCAGTAAATTACTGCTCAATTGCAGTACAACATTTCTCTTCCGAAGTGATGTTGAAGTCACTTAATATAACATCTCTTGTTCTGGTTTTGATTTTAGTTTTAAGTTTCGTCAAAAAGAAGTCCTTGATTTATAAGTTTCTCAATTCACTGTTGATGTGTCCAACAATTTTATGTTATTATTAATTTATTATTTGTTTTTTAAAGGTGATTATGTCGTTCTTATGCTGAAGTTCGCTGGTGAGTGGAAAACAATTGCTAGATTTGTGTTTTGACGTAGCACAGCTGCTCAAACGTTGATAAATTTGAAGGTAGAATTTAGAATTTTGCCCTTCTGTCTATTACCTTAGGGATATCTATAGTAAGATGCAAAATGTGGGTATGACTAGGTGGTTCTATGGGGGTATACTATATATTACAAATGAGTGGGAATGGTGCACAACTGCACACGGACTGAAGTTCAAAGCTTCGCCACAGTTAAAGAAGATGTTTCCTTATTTGTATTAGGGGCTGTAGGGAAGGGGGTGGGAAGAAAGCAAGGAATGAGAAGAGGAAAGCTTCAGCTGCCTGTGTACTAGTAAAAGGGAAGTAGGTAACTACCTACTTGTGATTCTGGAAGTGCTAGTGTACTAGAAGAACCAGGGCACTACCCACTCGTTGGCAAATGTACTGTAGCTATTGTAGTTGGTTCTCCCCTTGAATGTTTTTTTATTGAAACTTTTATTCTTTATTGTGGCTTAGAGCCGTTTGCTTCTTTCACTGCTGTTTCAGATCTGCTAATATATGTCGTTGTTGCAAATCCTATTCATTCTTTACCTCAACCTTTTTTCTTTGTTTCAAAACATATAATATTTCGTATACACCTTTTACTTGCAGGAAAAACGCAGTGTGGAGATGTTGGATTGCCCCAGCCCCATAGGAGTACGCTTTGCTTAGTACTATAATTAGTTTTGACTTTTTCAATTTCCTTGGTTGTAAGGGCATATCTTTGTTTAATGCCCTTTTAGAACAGTACTCCGTATTTGTTTATTTTAAACATTGGTCTTTTCAGTTTTTTTTTAAATTTTTTATTTGGTGGTATGTAAAACTTTAAAATGGAAGGGGTTGGGTTCGATTCCCTGGAGCGGATTTTGGCCCCATCACCGCCCTTCTATTTTGGCCTTGCCCTTCTGATTTTTTTTTCCGGGAAGCAGCTAGAAGATGGTCTTACCCCAGCGGATTGCAATATTCAGAAAGCCTTCATTTTCACTTCTTTGGTGATATAACCTATTTGCAACTATGCTTGCGGGCTGCGGCTTGACTCTTTATGAGGACATTCTTAGCTGCTGCCAAATGCGAGACTACTTGGGATGCTGGTACTTCAGCTAGAAGAGCAATTCATAACCCTCTCGAGCAGTTCTTTGAAGCTCATAGAAGTGTGGAGGATGATAAACCTGTTGTGTATGGTGGGAGCTGGAAGGCATCTGAGCTTCGTCTCAAGTCCTGGGATGATCTTCACAAACTATGGTATGTACTTCTCAAGGCTCAACGTCAAATGCTTAATGCTCAAAACTTGAGATTTCCAAATCCAGAATGTATCTCCAAGGTAAGAAAGTCTATATGCCGAATCAAACACGTGCTCACAGAGAGGGCGATCGATGAGCCAGATCCTATGAGGTGTAGTGAGATGAAAAGAATGATAAATGCCGTATGAGAAGAATGATAGTTGTGTTAAAAGGAATGAATGAGAGATGCTGTCATTTGATCCAGTGGCAGATAGACAGGTAGTTTATGGAGTCATATATTTTCTGTTTCAAGAATTTTGTGCTGCCCAGATGATTTGTTGGAGCTGTGGACGTGCTCTTTTAAACACATTCTTTGCTAGCTCGTGTATCTGAAAATGGATGCTGTGGACGTGTATCCTGGAAGTGTTTTTTTATTTGCCTGATGTCATCCATCTCCTTGGGTGGGTAGAACAAAAGAGGCAAACAATTTTTAGACAAAAAAATGGAAGCGGTTGGGAGTTGGGGGGATGATAAATAAAGCAAAACTTTATATGAGTATGTGTTACTTGAGTTCAGTTCAAATCGGTTGAAATTGTTATTTTTTTTTTAAATATGTCAATATTTATTATTTTTTATTATATTTAGTTTTGTACTAATAGTCTACCATATTTTGATGTGATATCTAGCCTTATTTAGATGATTTGTATTAAATTAGTTGATTTGTAAATCCCACATAATCCTCTTGTAATCACTCTCAAACGGCCGAAATGAAACCAGATAGTTTCAAATCAAAATTATTGATGTATATGGAGTATAAATTGGGTAATTTACACAAAAAGATCTTTGATTTAAACTTACATATATTTGTTAATCTATGACCCGATGTTTCGAACTTTCGATTTTTGCTCTTTTACGGTCAATTACATTGCTCGTACATAACAGTTTGAGTATGATCTATGTGCTTTTCTTGGTCAAATAGATATATCATACTCAAAATTCAAAACAGATTATGAGATATGTGATTAAGATTTATTAGTTAAATCTAAAGCAATGGAAACGAAAAAGGCTTGACTTTGTTTAAATTTTGTGTTTATCAAATTATAGTGTTTATGATAGGGAGGCATTCGAAAATCTAAATAGTGCATGTGGAATTCAGCTTCGGAAGCTCAATTGGAGCTACTCCAATGGTAAAAGTTAGGTATAAACTGCATCTCAACTAGAATATTTTTTTTTGTCTCAACTGAGACTATATTAAAATGAGGTAACTAATGTACAAAATAGTTAGTTTTATTCTTAATATGCATTTCCTCAAGTGAACGAGTTAATGCATCCCATTTTCTTTTGCAATTGTATTAAACTGATTTATCAATACTAAACTAATCCTGAAGAAGAAAAAGAAAAACTCTACCCAAATTAATGTTCTGTGATAAGGATTTCTGATAAGACTGTTCCTAAAAATTTACAATGTATTTTACTCTAATCATGTTCCTAAATTGATACTAAATGTCGCTCCCATTCCTTGTATGTTCGAATTAACTCATGTACTTTCCTTATTTACCATTTGGCACATATAGCTGGAGTTAGGGGAGAGCAAACCCGACCCTACCCGATTGACCCGATTGGATATATCCGATTTTATTTTTTGGGTCAGATAACCCGACCTGAATGACCCAAACCCGATCCGATTTTTGCAACCCGAGAGTTAAGCGGGTAGCGGGTAGGGTTACCAATTATGTTACCCGACCCGCCCGAAAACCCGAACTAGGGTAGTATATATACTACTTTGAATTATTATGCATGTTCAAATATCTCAATTATTGTATGCCAATTACCATATTATGCATATCAAATATTCCAATTAACGTATTTGTAAAACTATAACTTTGAATGTTGTATTGTTATGATTTTGAATGATATTTTGACCAGTTATCATTTTATTTATCACAATATCAAAAATGCCAATCACCGTATATTATTATTTTACATGTCCTAATATGTCGATTACCGTATTTATACAACTATTACTTTGAATGTTATACTAGTATAACTTTGAATGATATTTTTACCAATTACCATTTTATTTATCACAATTTCAACAATAATAAATTAAAATCCGAATGGACCCGAAAACCGAACCAACCCGACCGAAACCCGAACTTCTTCAACCCGAAAAACCCGATAAATTTTTTGATCGAGTAGGGTTTTAAATTATCAATCCGATACCCAAACAGGTTTACTATTTTTGAACCTGACCCGCCCGAACCCGACCCGTAAATTTGTTTAACAAATGTGGCTATTGTGAAGCATTATATATATATATATATATATATATATATATATATATATATATATATATATATATATATATATATATATATATATATACAGAAATGCTCAGGTCCCTCCGGAGGGACGGGAGGGACCGTCCGAACTTTACTGTTTGGGGCGGTTCCCGGTGGAATTTATTGATGAAATTTTTTGAGCATGTTCCTCATTAAGTCTAGTTTGTCCATACCAAATTTCAGCTCAAAATTCGATCGGGAAGGCAGTCAAATAAATTCTTGAAGCATACTGCACATTCTGTGCATATATAAAGTGCAGTAAGTTTCAAGAATTTATTTGACTGCCTTCCCGGTCGAATTTTGAGCTGAAATTTGGTATGGAAAAACTAGACATGATGAGGAACATGCTCAAAAAATTTCATCAAAAAATTCCACCGGGAACCGCCCCAAACAGTAAAGTTCGGACGGTCCCTCCCGTCCCTCCGGAGGGACCTGAGCAGTCATATATATGTGTGTGTGTGTGTGTGTGTGTGTGTGTGTGTGTGTGTGTGTGTGTGTGTGTATGGATTGGTTCCAGTGAGAAAGGAGTCCCAAGAGAGAAATAAGAATGAAATCTAGCCATTGATTCAACAAAATGGATGGCTGCAAATTTAGAACAATATCTGCTGCAATCCATTAATTACGATCGGTTAGTAGAGTTATTAAAGGAAATGATGTCTAATAAACATTAGTAAAGGGCATAACAGTAAAAGAAACTAAAGGGTTGACACACGTTGGCTATAATTGTGGAGATATTTTTAACCACATTACGTTTAACTATTTCCGTTTCTTTGTCCAAATTGTAGTTATTAATTACTTTCCTTTTAGAGTTTTCACTTATTTGAATTTGTGTAGTCGAATCCCTGGATTCGATTAGGTTGGTGCACATATATTCTTTCTAAAAAACAAAAAGTTGGTGCACATATATACTATTAATATAATGCACTAAGGGTTGAAGTATCGTGCACTGAGGGCTAGAGTATAGTGCACTCTTTATCGGTGCACCAAGGGATGGAGTATGATACACTTTTTTAATTTGGTGATGCATCAAAATTCTCTTGAATGAATCACAATCAAAGAGTTTGGTGCATTTTTTATTTGTTTTGTTGCACGTTTGAAATGTTTTTACATACGAAGTAATAAGAAGTAATAATGAAAGTAATCCAATTTATGAATTGCGAAGAATTGTACATAATATGCATTTCATATACTTGAAATGTGCAAATATAATTCACTTAAATTATGGATGATGAGTAAAGTGCAATGGACGACCCAAAAGTAAGGATATAATTTAAAAATATGCACAACATACACTATCTTTTTTAATAATGCACTTCAAAATATATAACTAAATGCACATTTTGCAAAAAATAAAAATGCAAATATAAATGTGAAGGTATTAATAAGAAGAATCGCATAATATGCATCTCTCGTCCATAGATAGTGCGGTTATTTGTGTTTTAGTTAGCATTGTCATGTATACAAAATAATACTCTGTATTACATTGGAAAGAAGGAAAGTGCAATGTGTAAAACAATTTAGTGCATTATCTTATATCACATACAACCAATGTTCTAAAAGGCGTAAGGCGTGTCGAGGTGGCACATCCAAGCCTTAAGCCTTTGAACCTAGGCGGGCTTAGGCGGGACGTAGGCGTGAAAAGGCGTTTCGAAATTTGTTATCATTTATTTTAATTTTTCTAAAGCTATTTTTAAATAACGTTATTCAAGAACATCATTTTTATTATAGTAGTACCTTCATCTCGTTGTAAGGATCCCACGACAAATGAATGTGAGGTTATAGATGTATTATTTCTAATATTTAATGATTAAATTATCATTTATAATTGTGAACTGTTTCTCAAAATAGAAATGAAAACCTTTATATGAGACGTACAAAAAGGAAAAATGAGAACATTTCGACAGGACGGAAAGAGTTATATTTTTGAAAAACCCTCTAATAAAAATGATAAGAGTGAGGATCTTGATAATGATAACAATAAAATAAAACAATAATGTATAACAATAATAACAATAATTAAAACAATCTTAATATTAATATCATATCAATAATAATAATAATACATAGTAGTTGTTAGCGTATTAATGTCAAGCTATTATACTAAATATAATTACTAATACGGAGTAATATATAAAGTTTCACAGTTTCAAATTTAAAAAGAGCACATGCAAGTTGTGGGTGAGATGGAACTGCACCTAGCAAATACGGAGTACTTTATGCAATTTGTTTTTCCCACACCGATTACAAAACATTCTTCAGCCTTCCAAGCGCGTTATAAATTCGTCCCTCGCCAACGCTTGGCCAAATCAGCGACAAGCGACCTGGTTGAAAGCTAGTTGACCGGCTTATCTTGTCCAGGACCAGTAGTTTTAATTGCTATGGGCTTCCTTAAAATTTGGGCCGTCTTTTGTCACGCCTATGGGCTGTGCGAGGCTTTAGTCTGACGCCTTGGGCCTGGGCCCGCCTAGGCGGAGCCTTTTAAGGCCTTTTAGAACACTGCATACAACACATAGCGGCTAAAAGAATTGATACGAAATGTTTACTAGGATGTTTTCTTTTGAATTGTTTTCAGTCCCACACCAACTATACAAGATCAGACTAGATCATCCCAAACCAAACTTCCGTAGTTACAAAATATACAGACACCAGACATTTAACAGACCAGATCAGACTAACAAATTTCAGTCTAAAAGAAAACATCTTATGAATAAATCATACGTAGTACTTTTATCTCGAATATATATTTCACCAATAAATATTCATAAACTGGAAAAAATTTAATAACAATCATAAAATATTTCAATGAAATAACAAAATAGAGAAACAAATATAGCTCTCTGTAAATTAAAATTATTGCAAGGCAATGGATTTCTCCATGTAAACTCACGGTAGTGGAATCACTACGGACAAACACAATGCTAAAAATGGATTCATGAACATATGAAACTGAAAAGGAAACAAACCATTATTAAGCACTTCAGAATATAAGGAAGCAATTGCACGAATATTAAATCAACTAACCAATAGAATAAAATGACTGAAAGGGGCTCACCTAATCAAAATGATTAAAGAGTAGTATGTTATGATCTAACGGCTGAAATCTATTCTTATTTCTCTCCTAAGATGTTTTTCTCACTTGATCCTATATATATATATATATATATATATATGGGCGATATTGATGATAAAGCATCTTGGAGATTGTATATTCTCCTAGAGAGAGTAATGTTGTTGCAAACTCCTTCACTGAACAAAGGGATTTTACTGAGGACGACTTTCTGATTCTTGGATGGTCACAATTGTCTTATTGTGTAAGGGAAGCATCTATATGGAAAAGGAAGTTATTGTCTATCTTAAAAATTTCACAGAGTTCTATCCTCCTCCAACCAGTTCCGATGCATCGCCTTCTGAAATTCGGGACCCTTTTGACATCACTCATCCAGTTTGATTTAGCTTATGTGAGTTGGTTTTTATCTCCTATGTAAATGAGACCAGGATGCTGGAAGTGGGAGCTAGACTTTGGCCTTTAACTTGGTCTAGGTTGGCCCTTCACTATTCTTTCTTTATGTGTGTATAGATACCTTTTGGCTTTCTATCTACATGGAGAGCCTTAATAATGTTAATCCCGTCAAGTAGCATGTTAAAAAAAATCACTCTTACGAAGTAGTTTACCCCACACCATGGACCCCTACATTCATGTCTTCAACTTAATACAAAGTGTTTTTTTTTAAATATACGAAGTATTTGTTAATAAATGCTATATATGTTTCTAGCTTTCCCTATCCTTTTGTATCAGTGTATTATACAAACATTATTGGGCACTAACCCAATCACGCATCGCGCATCAAAATAACTGGTTTCAATAATAAATACCATCGACTATGTCACGCAGTGTAAATGCTTTGGTTAAAGGTTTATCTTATAAATGTAACACAAAATGGCAATTGTGGACTTCTTTGATTTAAAAAATTTGAATAAAAAATTTCTAAACAATTTAAAAATCACTAAAAATGAAGATCCTAAAAAAATCAAAAAATATTTTAAACATGCACGGTTGATATTTTTCACATAGAGGTTCTGAGCTGAAACGTGAAAGTCTTACAAACAGACGTGGTTCATGAACAAATAATTTAATACAACCGTCTCTGTAATTCATGAACAAATAATATCATCGTATGAGAAAATATATTTATTGTAATGCCGTATGTCTAAAAATTGGATGTTGTGATTATCTCTGAATTCACTACTCTTGAAAAGTATTGAAAATATAGGTGAATTTATTCGTGGGTTTGAATTAGAAAATGATGAATTTAAAAAGAATAAGAAAAAATTCCACTTATATTACTAGTAGAAGAGTCATGGACATATGTATTACTACTAAAGATGACTTATTATTTAAATGCTAACACAACAATTTCCTTGTTCCTATTTTACCTTCAAGTCTAGTTATATACCGGCAAATAGATTAGACTCCACTTTCACCCAAAACTCCTACTGACTACCTACCTGGCTACCCTGGCGTGCTAAGTTATCGTTCATTCCTACCCCTTCTACCATCTTCTTCGCAAACCCACATATGGCAGTTTCTTTGTATAGTAGAGCCTTCTTAAAACATGTAAGTTACTATATCCAGTGCACATAGTAACTACATCATACAATAATATACCTAAGCCACCTTAATTAATTCAGTGTCCATCAATTACCATCAGTCAGTATGGCTAAAGTGCCTTCATCACAGTCACTTATAATTATAACTAGTTTGTGTACCCATGCGCCGCACGGTAAGATATATGTTTAAAGTTTTTCTTAAATTAATATGGACTGCGGATTGTATATGAATTCGTCAATCGAAGTTTAAAAGAGAACTCAGTTGATTATAAATACAGATGTCAAAATGAGTCGACCTCCACCGGGCTTGCTCGTTTCATGGTGGATTGTATTTAAATATAACCTGATTAGCTCATTGGTTTCGTGGGTCAACATGCACAGGTTGTGGGCTGACTTTACAGCTTGCGATTGGTCAAAATATAAATATCTAGTTTTGACTTTCACTATCTTATTTTTGTTTGTTTACTACAAAAATATTTCAAATTGCATGCTTATTATTTAATACAGAACCATCATATTTGTGTCGGTCCTTTTAGTTCTCTTTTATTCAAATTGCTTGAGTAATGAGGCGTGCTGCTTTATATCAAGAATATAGTAACTTTTAGAATTTTTATTACATTATTTAATGTGTATTCAATTGATTTGAGTATAAGTATTTAGAATGATTTTTTTATATTACTGTGGGGTAACTTATATAAGTATAAGTATTTTTATAATAATTTATTGATTTTTTTACATGAAGCTTCTCGTGAAAATGAAAATGAGCCCAATAATATAATTCTTGAAAATAAAGTATGCTCTCACTATATTTTGAATTGTGGCCTAACTTATATTTCTTTCTCAATTATGTTTATAAGTTTTCTTAATTGTATTTTTACAAAAAAGATTAGAGTTTGATATTCATTGCTTTGAGTTTGTATCTAATTACAAATAGACCTACTCTTACTCGGCCTAATCAAAGAACAACCATATAGTCCATCAATCAATATGAGTCGTGGAGATACTACCTAAAAATCGATCAAATTGGTGTGATCAGTTGAAGTTTTACAAATCGTTGCTGAAATGGTTGGATCAGGTGAATGGAAAAATAAAAAACTCATTCCAACGCTATTTTGATTATTACTCATTCAAACACGTGAAATAAAAACTTCGTGTTTGATAAAAAAGTTAGCTGCTGATTACTAAACCAGATTTCAATATTTCCCACCACATTTCTAAAATATTTCAAAGAGGAAAAAACTATATTTATTTGTAGGTTTGAATGAGAAAATGATGAATTAGAAAAGAATAAGAAAGAATTCCACTTATATTACTAGTAGAAGAGTCATGGAAATAAATAATACTAAAGACGACTTATTATGAGAAAATGATGAATCAGAAAAGAATATGAAAGAATTCCACTTATATTACTAGTAGAATGAGTCGACCTCCATCGGGCTTGCTCGTTTCATGGTGGATTGTATTTTAATAACCTGATTAACTCACTAGTTTCGTGGGTCAACATGCACAGGTTGTGGGATGACTTTACAACTTGCGATTGGTGAAAATATAAATATCCAGTTTTGACTTTCACTATCTTAATTTTTTTTGTTTACTACGAAAATTATTTCATATTATACACTTATTATTTAATACAAAACCATCACTTTTTGTCGGTCCTTTTAGATCTCTTTTATTCAATTGATTTGAGTAGAAGTATTTAGAATGAATTTTTTTATTGTTTATATAAGTATACATATTTTTTATAATAATATATTTACATGAAGATTCGACACACGAGCTTACATGAAGCTTCGACACACTAGAAATGTTTCTTGTGAAAATGAAAACTAGCCCAATAGTATGATTCTTGAAAATAAAGTATGCTCTGACTATAATTTGAACTGTGGCCTAACTTATATTTCTTTCTCAATTATGTTTATACGTTTTCATAATTGTATTTTTACAAAAAGATTAGAGTTTGGTAATCATTGCTTTGAGTTTGTATCTAATTAAGAATATACCTACTCTTACTCAGTCCTAATAAAAGAACAACCATACAATTATCACTGTATGATTATCTTTATAATTGATGACCATCAATCAATAAGAGTCGTGGAGATAATATCTAATAAACGACGAAATTTGCATGACCAGTTGAAGTTTTGCAAATTGTTGCTGAAATGGTTGGATCAGGTGAACGGAAAAATTAGATTTAAAATACATTTCATTAATAAAATTAGGAAAAATACATGAAACATAGGTAAAATGGTGTTCTACAGTCACTTCATCCAATTGAGTCACAAAAGTAACTCCATCCATAGCTATTTTGATTAATACTCATCCCGGCGCGTGAAATAAAAACTTCGTGTTTGATAAAAAAAGTTAGCTGATAAGCTAAAAGCATGGGTTACTAAACAATATTTCAATATTTCTCACCACGGTTCTAAAATATTTCAAAGAAATGAAAATTCGAGTATCTTTAAATTTACCTGTGAGCATTAGTAAAATTACAGGGAAAAACTACATGTATTTGTGGGTTTGAATGAGAAAATGATGAATTTAGAAAAGAATGAGAAAAAAAATCCACTCATATTACTAGTAGAAGAGTCATGGACATAAATAATACTAAAGACGACTTATTATTTAAATGCTAACACAACAATTCCCCTGTTCCAATCTTACCCCGAGGTATAGCTCTATACCCGCAAGCCCTGTTCTAAAAATCGGCCTAGTCGGACCGATTAATCGGTCTAGGCGGCCTAGGCGGCCCTAATTGTAGATTCCTAGTCGGTAAAAAATCGGCCTAGTCGGCCAAAAAATCGGCCTAGTCGGCCCAACCGCCCGACTAGCGCCTAGCGAGTTTTAGAACAATGCCCGCAAGTAGATTAGACTCCATTTTCACCCAAAACTCCTACCGACTACCTACCCGGCTACCCTAGCGTGCTAAGCTATCGTTCATTCCTATCCCTTCTACCATCTTCTTCACAACCCCATGTATGACAGTTTCTCCGTAGAGCCTTCTTAAAACATGTAAGTTAATATTCAGTGCACACAGTAACTACATCATACAATACTATACCTAAGCCACCTTAATTAATTGATTCATTGTCCATCAATTACTACCGAGTCAATTACTAAATCACAAGTTACAACTATAATAAAGTTACTATATAGTTTGTATTATATTTATTGCTCACACAAAATCTCCAATGGGAAATAATACAAATGAAACCAAACTATTGTGGCCTGATTTCTATTCCCCTAAATAAATCAAAAACATTGTATCATGACTCACAAAGTAATTTATTTGCATCACACCAATATGTGAAATCAAACCCACCCTCAAATACAACTTCAAGCAACTCCCGCAAATTAGGTCTGGATCTAAAAGCTTGGTAACCGTTGGGGTAATCACGACATTTTATTTCAGGAAAATTCTTAGTGTACATGAGTTGTACACAACCTGTACACAAAGCCCACACAGCTGCCTGTGTACACATGCAATTCGTTTAAAAAGGGGCATAACTTGATGTCGAATTTCCCGTGTACACAGGCAATGTACACATTTTGTGTACATTTTGTATACAACAGGAATGGTCCCTTATTTTATGCTCTTTCCACCGTGCCTACGTTTTTTTATTGAATATTTACTTCTAGTCGCTTTTTTGTCTAACTAATTAGTAATGGTAATGTATTAATAGAAACTCAAATAATAATATCAAGGTATTTTTGTCAAAATGGGTGAAACATAAATATTCCTTAAATAAGTTAGAAAGGAGATATGCGGATTTTATAAAATGAATTTTAGATGTTTAATAAAATGAATGAATTGCACTACAAATACAAGAAAAAGGATTGGAATTGGAATTAAATATATTATCTTTGAGCCGCCTCGATCCTCCTCCTCGCTCAGTTGAGTGAGTCAATTCTAGGTGACGGAGCACTGGTTCTTGGGCGGGTGAAGCAAGCAAGGCAGATGGAAGAGGAGCTGAACAGCCATCCCTCCGATGGACAAACGCGAAATCCGGCGGCTTATCCTAGCGGCGTCGGGCTTGGTGAAGGAGCTGAGGCTGAGCTGTTGGTGAAGGAAGCCAAGCCAGAGAAGGAAGAAGAGAAACGAAGAAAGTGAGCATTCCATTCACTAATTAAAATCAGTTCCCACACCGACCAAGCCAGAGAAGGAAGAAGAGAAACGAAGAAAGTAAGCATTCCATTCACTAATTAAAATCGGTTCCCACACCGACGCCGGATGGCTGAGCGACTCCTGGCTGGGTCTATAAATACAAGGGTACAGTTGCAGATATACTCACCCTTTGGGACTGACCAAGTCCCGCTGGGTTGGGCTGGCCACCCTTTGGGGCCGGCCCCGGCTCCCTCTTTGGGCGCCATTAGGCTTAGGTTAGGTAGGTAGTTAGGGCTAGGCTTAGGTTAGTTTAGGCTTAGGCTTAGTTTAGGCTAGCTTAGGTTTAGGTTAGGCTTAGGGCGGTGGGGGCGTTATGCTGCCTCCATGCCGTCCTCGGCCGCCCGGGGTGGTGTTATGCTGCCTCGCTGGCGCCGCGTGGCGCCAAACCCCCCGTGGGGGGGGTAGGGGGGGGTCAGGAGCAGTATGGGGGAGTCGAGGGGGGGAAGAAAAGGGGGGAAAGGGGAGAAGAAGGGGGGAAGACGGGGAGAAGAGTCGAGAGGTAGAGAGAGGGAAAGTGAAAGAAAGAAATAGAAAATTAAGACAATTAAATAATATTAATTAATAATAATAATTAAGTTATTTAGTTATTATTAACTTATTTAGTTACTATTTAAAGGAAGCAGTAGGGGAAAATTAAGACAGGGGGAAATTTACTAAATTCATATGTACTTGATTGCAGTAAAAGTTTAACTAATTATGCTTCATATAATCAACCTAGATAGTTTGAACTTAATATTAATTAGAACTGGGGCGCAGTAAATTACTGCTCAGTTGCAGTACAACATTTCTGGTTTTGATTTTAGTTTTAAGTTTCGTCAAAAAGAAGTCCTTGATTTATAAGTTTCCCAATTCACTGTTGATGTGTCCAACAATTTTATGTTATTATTAATTTATTATTTGTTTTTTAAAGGTGATTATGTCGTTCTTATGCTGAAGTTCGCTGGTGAGTGGAAAACAATTGCTAGATTTGTGTTTTGACGTAGCACAGCTGCTCAAACGTTGATAAATTTGAAGGTAGAATTTAGAATTTTGCCCTTCTGTCTATTACCTTAGGGATATCTATAGTAAGATGCAAAATGTGGGTATGACTAGGTGGTTCTATGGGGGTATACTATATATTACAAATAAGTGGGAATGGTGCACACCTTGGTTTAAAAAAGCGCGCCTGAGGCGCGAAAATGCGCTAGGCTCTCTAAGGCGAGCACTTTATCGCATCTTACACCTCCAGGCGGCGTAGGTTCCAAGAGGCGCACATTATACGGCGCTTTTTGACGCCTTTTGCGCATCTGAGAGTCGCGCGCTTCTCACGCCTTAGGGATGTGTCTTTTGGCGATTCAGTCTTTATAGTCTTCTCCCTTCTTCCTGCGTTTGTTTTGCTTCTGAGTTCCCCTTGAAATGCTAGCTACTTGTTGTGATTCTGGAAGTGCTAGTGTACTAGAAGAATCAGGGCACTACCCACTCGTTGGCAAATGCACTATAGCTATTGTAGTTGGTTCTCCCCTTGAATGTTTTTTTATTGAAACTTTTATTCTTTATTGTGGCTTAGAGCCGTTTGCTTCTTTCACTGCTGTTTCAGATCTGCTAATATATGTCGTTGTTGCAAATCCTATTCATTCTTTACCTCAACCTTTTTTCTTTGTTTCAAAACATATAATATTTCGTATACAGCTTTTACTTGCAGGAAAAACGCAGTGTGGAGATGTTGGATTGCCCCAGCCCCATAGGAGTACGCTTTGGAATTAAATATATGATCTTTGAGCCGCCTCGATCCTCCTCCTCGCTCAGTTGAGTGAGTCATTCTAGGTGACGGAGCACTGGTTCTTGGGCGGGTGAAGCAAGGCAGATGGAAGAGGAGCTGAACAGCCATCCCTCCGATGGACAAACGCGAAATCCGGCGGCTTATCCTAGCGGCGTCGGGCTTGGTGAAGGAGCTGAGGCTGAGCTGTTGGTGAAGGAAGCCAAGCCAGAGAAGGAAGAAGAGAAACGAAGAAAGTGAGCTTTCCATTCACTAATTACAATCAGTTCCCACACCGACCAAGCCAGAGAAGGAAGAAGAGAAACGAAGAAAGTAAGCATTCCAGTCACTAATTAAAATCGGTTCCCACACCGACGCCGGATGGCTGAGCGACTCCTGGCAGGGTCTATAAATACAAGGGTACAGTTGCAGATATACTCACCCTTTGGGACTGACCAAGTCCCGCTGGGTTGGGCTGGCCACCCTTTGGGGCCGGCCCCGGCTCCCTCTTTGGGCGCCATTAGGCTTAGGTTAGGTAGGTAGTTAGGGCTAGGCTTAGGTTAGTTTAGGCTTAGGCTTAGTTTAGGCTAGCTTAGGTTTAGGTTAGGCTTAGGGCGGTGGGGGCGTTATGCTGCCTCCATGCCGTCCTGGGCCGCCCGGGGTGGCGTTATGCTGCCTCGCTGGCGCCGCGTGGCGCCAAACCCCCCGTGGGGGGGGGGGTAGAGGGGGGTCAGGAGCAGTATGGGGGAGTCGAGGGGGGGAAGAAAAGGGGGGAAAGGGGAGAAGAAGGGGGGAAGACGGGGAGAAGAGTCGAGAGGTAGAGAGAGGGAAAGTGAAAGAAAGAAATAGAAAATTAAGACAATTAAATAATATTAATTAATAATAATAATTAAGTTATTTAGTTATTATTAACTTATTTAGTTACTATTAACTTGATTAATAGTCTCATAGATATATACGGAGTAATAGCCTCATAGATATATAAAATTAAGAAAAGGGGGGAAAGGGGAGAAGAAGGGGGGAAGACGGGGAGAAGAGTCGAGAGGTAGAGAGAGGGAAAGTGAAAGAAAGAAATAGAAAATTAAGACAATTAAATAATATTAATTAATAATAATAATTAAGTTATTTAGTTATTATTAACTTATTTAGTTACTATTAACTTGATTAATCGTCTCATAGATATATACGGAGTAATAGCCTCATAGATATATAAAATTAAGAGGAAGCAGTAGGGGAAAATTAAGACGGGGAAATTTACTAAATTCATATGTACTTGATTGCAGTAAAAGTTTAACTAATTATGCTTCATATAATCAACCTAGATAGTTTGAACTTAATATTAATTAGAACTGGGGCGCAGTAAATTACTGCTCAGTTGCAGTACAACATTTTATACTGCAACAAGAAAATGTTGATGTGTCGATTTATAAGTTTCCCAATTCACTGTTGATGTGTCCAACAATTTTATGTTATTATTAATTTATTATTTGTTTTTTAAAGGTGATTATGTCGTTCTTATGCTGAAGTTCGCTGGTGAGTGGAAAACAATTGCTAGATTTGTGTTTTGACGTAGCACAGCTGCTCAAACGTTGATAAATTTGAAGGTAGAATTTAGAATTTTGCCCTTCTGTCTATTACCTTAGGGATATCTATAGTAAGATGCAAAATGTGGGTATGACTAGGTGGTTCTATGGGGGTATACTATATATTACAAATAAGTGGGAATGGTGCACACCTTGGTTTAAAAAAGCGCGCCTGAGGCGCGAAAATGCGCTAGGCTCTCTAAGGCGAGCACTTTATCGCATCTTACACCTCCAGGCGGCGTAGGTTCCAAGAGGCGCACATTATACGGCGCTTTTTGACGCCTTTTGCGCATATGAGAGGCGCGCGCTTCTCACGCCTTAGGGATGTGTCTTTTGGCGATTCAGTCTTTATAGTCTTCTCCCTTCTTCCTGCGTTTGTTTTGCTTCTGAGTTCCCCTTGAAATGCTAGCTACTTGTTGTGATTCTGAAAGTGCTAGTGTACTAGAAGAATCAGGGCACTACCCACTCGTTGGCAAATGCACTATAGCTATTGTAGTTGGTTCTCCCCTTGAATGTTTTTTTATTGAAACTTTTATTCTTTATTGTGGCTTAGAGCCGTTTGCTTCTTTCACTGCTGTTTCAGATCTGCTAATATATGTCGTTGTTGCAAATCCTATTCATTCTTTACCTCAACCTTTTTTCTTTGTTTCAAAACATATAATATTTCGTATACAGCTTTTACTTGCAGGAAAAACGCAGTGTGGAGATGTTGGATTGCCCCAGCCCCATAGGAGTACGCTTTGGTTAGTACTATAATTAGTTGTGACTTTTTCAATTTCCTTAGTTGTAAGGGCATATCTTTGTTTAATGCCCTTTTAGAATAGTACTCCGTATTTGTTTATTTTAAACATTGGTCTTTTCAGTTTTATTTTTTATTTTTTATTTGGTGGTATGTAAAACTTTAAAATGGAAGGGGTTGGGTTCGATTCCCTGGAGCGGATTTTAGCCCCATCACCGCCCTTCTATTTTGGCCTTACCCTTCTGATTTTTTTTCCGGGAAGCAGCTAGAAGACGGTCTTACCCTAGCGGATTGCAATATTCAGAAAGCCTTCATTTTCACTTCTTTGGTGATATAACCTATTTGCAACTATGCTTGCGGGCTGCGGCTTGACTCTTTATGAGGACATTCTTAGCTGCTGCCAAATGTGAGACTACTTGGGATGCTTGTACTTCAGCTAGAAGAGCAATTCATAACCCTCTCGAGCAGTTCTTTGAAGCTCATAGAAGTGTGGAGGATGATAAACCTGTTGTGTATGGTCGGAGCTGGAAGGCATCTGAGCTTCGTCTCAAGTCCTGGGATGATCTTCACAAACTATGGTATGTACTTCTCAAGGCTCAACGTCAAATGCTTAATGCTCAAAACTTGAGATTTCCAAATCCAGAATGTATCTCCAAGGTAAGAAAGTCTATATGCCGAATCAAACACGTGCTCACAGAGAGGGCGATCGATGAGCCAGATCCTATGAGGTGTAGTGAGATGAAAAGAATGATAAATGCCGTATGAGAAGAATGATAGTTGTGTTAAAAGGAATGAATGAGAGATGCTGTCATTTGATCCAGTGGCAGATGGACAGGTAGTTTACGGAGTCATATATTTTCTGTTTCAAGAATTTTGTGCTGCCCAGATGATTCGTTGGAGCAGTATGGGGGAGTCGAGGGGGGGAAGAAAAGGGGGGAAAGGGGAGAAGAATGGGGGAAGACGGGGAGAAGAGTCGAGAGGAAGAGAAAGGGAAAGTGAAAGAAAGAAATAGAAAATTAAGACAATTAAATAATATTAATTAATAATAATAATTAAGTTATTATTATTAATGCCAGCTGGTACCATGGACCAACTTCAGCAATTCTAATTATTTTCACTTCATCTACTATTGAGTTTCTTCTGCAAACTCGTGTTTTTGTGTTGAGATGTATAATAATAGCCTCATAGGTATTACTCATGTTCGCTGTTTATCTACACATGTGACTTTTCATAGTCATCATGAAAACGAAAATGAGTCGAGATTTATCCTGCTAGCAATTTTCTCTCAACACCAGTGTCTTCTGTTAAATACAATTGAGCTTGACGATCAATCAGAGGCCACCTTAATTCCCATCCAATCTTAGCTTTGAGAAACTGCCTGGGAAGTTACAATTCCCATACAAAGTATCCATCTTAGATTTATCCACACTCATTTATGATCGTTCTCATAAATTTGAGACTGTTCAGGGTTTGTCAGTACGATAAAAGAATTGAGATCTCTGTTTTCCTTATCACAAACACATGGTATTCCAATATCTCCCAGAGATCTCGATTTGATGAGCCCAGATGACCCTTCACTTTAAATGATCGTTTCTTCAGATCTCCTTTCACCCTTTTCCTTTGCATCAGTTATCAATACAACCCTGTCTAAGGCTATAACACACCTTTCCTTGGAAATTCAGAGCAACATTTTCAATTGTCATTATTTTTTTTACTTGATGTGTCATATTTTTTGGTCCATCAGTAAGACTTATCTCTGCAAGTAACACAGGTTTTGAATTCGAGCTGGAATCTGAATCAACCCTTTTCGCCCCTTCTGGATTATCGGGTGGATATCCCGTGGATTGAATAATATCATCATTTTGAAGGTGATTATGTCGTCCTTATGCTGAAGTTCGCTGGTGAGTGGAAAACGATTGCCAGATTTGCGTTTTGACGTAGCTCAGCTGCTCAAACGTTGATAAATTTGAAAGTAGAATTTAGAATTGTGCCCTTCTTTCTATTACCTCAGGGATTACAAATGAGTGGGAATGGTGCACACAGACTGAAGTTCAAAGCTTCGCCACAGTTGAAGAAGATGTTTCCTTATTTGTATTAGGGGCTGTAGGGAAGGGGGGCGGGATGGAAGCAAGGAATGAGAAGAGGAAAGCTTCAGCTGCCTGTGTAGTAGTAAAACGGAGGTGGGTAACTACCTACTTGTTGTAATGCTGGAACTGCTAGTGTACTAGAAGAATCAAGGCACTACCTACTCGTTGGCAAATGTACTATAGTGTGATGTTATCTGCTTAATTATTGATGTAGTGATATTTTAGAATTAGAAATTACCAGATATGGAAGAAAAGAGAGAACGAAGGAGACAAAGAGATTGGGAGGAGAGATAGTCTGCAATTTTTGTCCCTTTCCCTATTTGCTCTAACCGTATTTGTAGGAATGGGGGTGGGGACCCCTACATAACAACCCACTTGCTAATACTAAAAAACTGAATTTATGTTTATTACATTATAGTTCTATTAATAATTTAGCTATCAGGAGTCTTTTAGAGGCCCAACTAAAAATAACAAGTAAATCACGACCATATATGACAATTCTCCCCTCTTGAGAAAATCCTTGTCCTCAAGGATTGGTAGGTGGTATGGAATTCCCGTAGTTGGCTGAAGTCGAGCAACTGGCAGTGGATTCTTCCTTTTTTTCATGTGACGGAAACAAAGCGGGCGACACACTGGCCCTTTCAGCATTCTTACTAGCTCTTGCTGGGGTTGGCAGAGGAGCAGAGTTATCATCTTGGTTAACCTCTGGGAGTTGTGATGCCACTACTGCGTGGGAACTGATGCAACGCTTCAGTAAGGAGACATGGTAAGCCACTTTCCCCACCCTTACCAAAACAGTGTACGGACCATAGTAGTGAGCTGATAGTTTCTGATTTCTGCGTTGAATTGAATTTTGTCGGTAAGGTTGTAACTTCAGATATACTTGATCCCCTATTGCAAATTCTCTGTCTACCCGTGTGTGTCTGCATAAAGTTTCATTCTTTCTTGTGCCAGCTTAAAATTTTCTTTGAGCTCCTGTCTTTTTTGCTGTCTTTGGGTAATTAGTTCCCAAATTTTAGTACTGGTTCCTGTAGAGGGAGTGGGTAGACAGAGAGTTGGGGTGTTGTGTCCATATGTTGAGACCATCCTGCAAACTCAGAGAAGAATTCTGCGATTTCGAAGAGACTTGCGCAAGGTGAGAAGCAGTTTGAGAAGGATTCTGCGAACAAGGATCTTCTGCTGGTGACGAAATCAGCGCATTCGAGGTCACCTGTGAACTAAGGAGGAGTTCTGTTAGGGATGAAGTTGAAGTGACTTGGGATGACATCTGATTTTCAGTTGGCCGACGGAGTCTAGGAGGGCTCCTCACTTGGCCTGTAGGTCTCCGGCGACGCGAAAGTTCGCGCATCTTTTTCAACCAGATTCGCATATCCTTCCCCCAATCACTTTTCCGCCAGCTTCTCCACTTTTCCGCGCTCAACCTTTTTCGCTAGCTTCCCCCTGTTCCGCGCGAAGCATCCTGATCAGATCTTCCATGTTCCCTGCGACACACGCTTCTCAGTGTTCGCGTGCAAACCAGGGGCAACTGACCTTCGACGTTCCCTACGCTGCTCCATTTTTTTTATCGTGTGACTTAGATCGAAGCTTCCCAGGGACAACGATTTTGATACCAATGTTAGGGACCTCAACAACGCAGCAGAGTTTTAGTATTATATTGATTAAAAAACTAAGAAGACAGTAGTGATTACAATGGTAGAAACGAGAGATCAACGTAAACTGAAAATTACAGGGTTGAGGCTCTTCAAGAGAGCCTCACTCTCCCAGCCTAATTCCAACTGAAATTCTGGCTACCTTCTTCCTCCTTCCCCCTTTTATATCATTTCTCTTCTTAAGGGCTGGCCACTGGTCCATATTTCTTGAATTACATGGCCCAAAACATTAACTTATACAATAACACTATTAATAATACTCTGTTATTCTTATTATTATTGGTTGTCTATGTCCCTATCAAATAATGATCAAACTCCACTGACTAATAAAAGCTTTGGAATGTTAATTATTACCATAGTCACTATAACTACTTAGTTATTCCTACTACGGCAGTCGGAGGACTCAGTGTTAGGGCACAGACACAAATCAAAGCTAAAACAGTAAACGAACACACAGATCTGATGAACAGAGATGGAAATAGATGTTTATTGATGAAATAGGTAATCCGTAGGCAGTACAGGGACTTCTTAGGCAACCGGGACTCTTAGGGGACAAGGCAACAGTTCTCAAAATAACAGTCTACCTATTAAGGCTATCCCAGCTTCTATTTATAGCCAAAAGTCCACGCAGGGACTAAATAGACAACTAAATAAGCTATAGACACTTAATAAGCTATTTAACTCCCCTAACCCCCTTATTTAAGACTACTGATTAGGCTGATGCCTAACATTACTCCCCCCTAAACAACCACCTTGTCCTCAAGGTGGGTGATAGGACACAGCCTTGATTTTGAACTTCCTCTTCATCTTGGAACCTCTTCCTTCCCAGTACCTCCCGGATTTCCCACCCAAAAGAAGCTTGTTTATTGCTCCTTTTGCTGTTTCTATAAACCAGTCATCATTTGGTAAAGCACTTGGTACAATGCCCCTAACCGAATATGTCCTGGTCACCCGAGACATTATATCCGATGCTATTTGATGCACTATCCTGGAAGGGTATCCAGCAACCCGTGCTATCTCTAGGGTGTAGTGCATTTCCAGCATTATATGCTGCAATCCATGTTGTGTAAGAGGAGCAGAACTATCCTCTAGAACACCCCAAAATTCTTGCTCATCATGCCGCCACATGACCCCAATCTCAATCAGCCCGGCAAGCAAAACCTTCTGTATTTTCTCCCTCCCAATTAGTATGTCACCAGCCACAGTTGCTAACTGCTGCAGCTTACAGTTCTTCACTGTAAGGAGCAGAAACAATATCTTGGTGGAAAAATGCTCCCTGGTGCTGCAAAAGTTAGAATCTCTTGGCATCTGCATCTCCTGTTGTGTCCTTTGCTTGTTTTCCGACATCTCTTTAAGAGAACTGACCTCATCTTGTTCAAGACCATGAACCATTTCAAAAGCATCTGGAAAGGGTAAAAGAATCGGGTAAAAGGCTAAGATGACTAGGTTTAAGTATTTAATAAAAGAATCGGGTTTCATTGAATTTCATAATAACTTGTACAAGGGTTTTATCATTCTCCAAGTTCGTTTCCTGCTTTGAAGATAGTTCGTGCCTCCAGTTACATTGAATGACTTATGTTTCATCATCTGTCAGGCACCCTTTTTAAACTAGAAATTGCTCTGTCAAAGGAAATAAGAACACTGGCAGCTGAAGCTTTTCTTAATGCCAGCTGGTACCAAGGGCCAACTTCAGCAATTCTAAAGTATGTTATTTTCACTTCATCTACTATTGTGAAGATCCAGGCCTCAGTTACATTTGAAACTAGAAATTTAGTCTTCTGTAAACTCATGTTTTTGTGTTGAGATATATAATAATAATAGCCTCAGAGGAGAGTGGAATCGAGGGGAATCCGGGAAAGAGAAGAAGAAAGGGGAAACGGGAAAGGAAGGGAGAGAGTTCTTTTTTGCCTCAAGACTTCTACTTTTATGGCCATTTGCTTTGAAGATAAGGATTGGAAGGATATCCAAGTTCTTTTTTGATCAGGTTTGAATTAGATTATATCCAAGTTCTATCATCTGTCCGGCAGCCTTTTTAAATTACAAATTACTCTGTCAATCATTTAAATTACAAATTACAAATACCCTTTTTAAAGCTGGTTACTAGTACAATTCTGAAGTATGTTAATTTCTCTTTGGCTGTTTATTGGTCCATCAGTTTCACTTCCCTTTGCCTGTATGGTGTCTCATAGGTATTATTTTGAACTGGTGAGTGGAAAACGATTGCTAGGGTTTCATTTTGACGTAGCTCAGCTGCTCAAGCGTTGATAAATGTGGTTCTATGGGGGTATACTGTATATTACAAATGAGTGGGAATGGGGCACACAGACTGAAGTTCAAAGCTTCACCACAATTAAGGAAGCTGTTTCCTTATTTCTATTAGGAGCAGCGGAGGAGAAGAAAGGGGGAAAGGGAAACGGGTATGAGTGAAAGAGTAGAGAGAAGGAACAGGAAAGAAAGAGGAAGCAGAAAGGGAAAGTTATTGAATTCATAATATACAAGGGTTTTATTATTCTCCAAGTTCGTTTCTTGCTTTGAAGATAAGTCTTGCCTCCAGTCTCCCCGGTCCTTGATCAAACTATCCCCTACTGGTCCTGTTCACTTCTGTAATCTTTCTCGCTTCCGAGTAAATCAGAAGGCCGAAGTGTTTGGCCTTTGCTACTCCTTCTCCATGCCTGCTGATCTCTCCTGGATTGGCAAGCATCCGGCTGCCAGAGAGAAATAAAGTCGAAATTATAGATAAGCAGGTTGTGTAATTTTCAAGTAAAGAAGATAAAATTTTAACAAACACCAGCAGCCACTTAAAGCTATTGACAACTCAAAGAAGAGAAAGTTTTCAAAAATACTACGCCATAGTTCAGAGTCCAGATTTAGTAGGAATGAAGGAGAGGAAAAGAAAGGTGAAGAACTGAAGAAAATGTTAGAAACAATTGTAATGCACTGGAAAGAAGAAAACCCAACTGCGTTTGCGGAGATTACATAAATGTCCTTAAACATTAGCGGGGAAAAGACTTGGTTCACTTAATAATATATAGATGTAAGATATCCCACCCACTTTGTTTTTATTTCAAGGGATTTTTTCACATTCTTAAAATCGATATATTCATGACATTGCATAGGCATTTGGTTTGTACTACACTACTAATTTTCTTGATATATGAATACTTGAATTAATGCAAACATATCTCAAACGATTACCATACCATACCGTTTCAAATAGTAGCTTTTGATGGACTCCTGACCTAGAATGCTAACCATGAGAGCTTGAGCTAAAAGGGTGAAGTATTTTAGTCTTCTCCTACTATTTGACATTGCTGAAATTTTCTCTTCTTTGAGTTGTCTATAGCTTTAAGTGGCTGCTGGTGTTTGTTAAATTTTGCTTCATTGAGGAGCTTCTTTTCGTGTTTCACTACTATCAACTTTCTGATTGTTTTAAACTGGATTTTATAAAGGGAAAAAACTTTACTTTATAATAAACATATATGTAAACTAAACTAAACTGTATAACCATGTATTTTCACCCCTCAAATTAAACTATTAGTTCTCATTACTTATCATAATTAAAGGAATAACTAAAAAAGAAGATTCTTTTCAGTTTTTTCCATTTCGATAATCAAGTAATGTATAGAAAAGAAAAAAATGACAGTTTATCGGTAGGATTAAAAGGCAAACAAACCCTCCATATGACCAGTTTCTTTGATTGACACATTTACTTTACACCATAAATATAGGAATTGACACATATACTTTACACCATAAATATAAGAATATGAGGTATAGTTAAAGCTATGCTTACTGGTTAGGAATAAGACTTTCACTTTCAAAAAAAGACTTAGAATGATGGTTTTGAATGTGTTAGCAATGTATTCTGAAGCAAAGAATTCTCTCCTTAGAACAGAAAAATAAGAAAATAATAAGAGTTGTTAGTAGAATGTCATAGTTATGACATTCTTATTTTAGAATATCAGTCAGCTTAGAGGACTGCCTAATCTTCATTGTTGGGATTCTATTAGATCTCATGTAGTTTATATTAAAAGCATCTAAAACTGGGAGTGCGTTACAGCTTTAGGAAGGCTGTCCCAGAGTAGGTATTTTGGTCCTTAAAAAATCCACCAGATACTTGCAACTTTTGGTGGGATCCAATATAAAAAGTGCATGTTCAAAGAACACAAAACCTGATAAAATTGTATCAACAAAGGAGACTAAAACTCCAGAAAACATACATGGAGATAATTACATTTTATAAACCAATTATAATAAATCACAGATATAATAAATCAATTATATTGATGAAAGAAAGTGACAGAACTAATGTGGAAGTAATGAAATAAGGTGGATTTGATCAGACAAAACCATGTATTAATTAGATTCCCACAAATTATTGAATACCTCAGTGGGTAAACAATCAACATGACAACTCTTTTATAAAATCTAAGGGGTTCAACTATAGCTGCAGGGTATACTGTGTGGAAATATTTTTCACATAGTATAAGAAAAACACATAACAATACTAATACGGAGTACTATTTAGAGTCCTCGTAGCTGCAAGCCTGCAACTACAATTTTCACAAAATAACTCCATTAAAACAACATCATCTTTGCTAAGATATCTTTAATCAGATAGTACGGAGTGTGAAAGTAATTTAATTAAGAAAGGGCATGAAGACCGTTCATTGAACTTTTAAAATGAAAAGCATGAAATCACTCATTTTCATTTACCCCAGTGCCGCAAAGGCTCCCACCCACGGTGGGGTAAGGGGGGTTGGATGTACGCGGTCTTACCTCTGTACTGAAGCACAGAGAGACTGCTTCCGGATGACCAATATTTTGTCTACGAATACTCACCAATATCGAGAAATTTGGAGTTGATGGACTCTTTGGAGTTGGATCAAGTCGAATATATCTGAATTCGTTTGATGATAACAGAGCTCCAATTGAGAGTCCAGTTCAGCAAGAAGTCTAGCGCAAGGTTTGTGCTAGAGCCCTAAAATCTGAATTCGTTTGATGATAACAGAGCTCCAATTGAGAGGCCAACTTCAGCGAGAAGTGTAGCGGAAGGTCTGTTCTAGAGCCCTAATTTCCCCGAACTTGAAAGAATACGCTAGGGTAAATCGGAAGAATAGAAAGTTTAGCTGTAATTACGTAAATATCCCTAGTCAGTAGGCGGGAACGTGACTTAAGCGTTTTAATATATATAGATTCCTTCTGCCTTCAATTATCTGCTCTTGCTTCTGCTTATTACTTTGTCCCTCCTTGTGCCACAAATATCCATCTCCTTGAATAATATGATTCAACCCTTGTTTCTTCCATTTTATGATCTGGTTTTGGAAATTAACTTCCATATCACCTAGATCAATCAACCATTCCATTCCCAACACCATGTCAGTCCCACCTAGCTCCAACATATAAAATTTCTGTTGAATTTCATTGCCCTGCACGCATTGTATCAAATTGCGCAATGCAATAGCGCAATGAGGCGCGCCTCAGGTAATTTCTATAGCAAGGCGCAGAATTGCATGGCGAAAGGCGGAAGTGTAGAAACGTGCGCTATATGGCGCAGTGGCGTACGCTTTCTGCGATGCGCAATAAGGCGCCTTGAGGCGACCGCCTTAAGAGTTTAGTTAGATAATTAATTAATAATATATGTTGACCGATAGGACCCACTTTTATTCTTTAGTAGGCCATACCGAGGGTGTACGCTATTCCCAACCTGCGTTTCTACTTCACCCTTCGTCAATCCTCATACAGAAGATGGGAGAAGATCGGTTGCTGCTTCATCATCTGCGCATCACAGGTTTGCAGAAGACCTGCGCGGCTGCCCATCAAGTTTCATCTGCTTCTCCTCTTATGTTTTTTCTTCGATAACAAAACACTTCGTATTACAAAACTGTAGTTTATTGAGTAGAACGAGGTTGCAGGATCGGTGGTGGCATGGATAAGTGGATTTGAGATTGAAAACTTTGCATAGCCCATACTGGGATAGTGGGATTGTCAGATAGTGGGTGTGAGATAAAAAAAACAAATTGAGTTTAGATGATGATATGGTGTCCATTTAAAAAAAGTAATTGTGTTGGCAGCTGGCAGTTTATACATACTTCATTATTTTGGTGCATTGTTTACTTTTTGATTAATATATATGTATAATTATAATTTATCTTTATATGTGTATATATATATATATATATATATATATATATATATATATATATATATATATATATATATATATATATATATATATATATATTACGCCTCAGGTCTACGCCTCATTGCGCAATGAGGCTTACGCAATATGCAATAATAAAAAAACGCCACGATTACGCAATACGCAATTTCGAACCTTGCCTGCACATTCAGTTTCATCCCTTCACATCTACCATAGTTAGAGATCAAGTCTCCATTCCCTATTTGTACCTTATATCCCTTGATACTTTGGAAAGGTATCTTCCATCTTTCTACAAATTGTTGGGATATAAAGTTGTGGGTAGCACCACTATCAATCAAGATATTCATCTTTGCTCATTTTCTGACCATTTCAATTCCCCTTTTACCTTGAAAGTATTCGTAGAGGAGCTTCCTTCTTTACTTAAGACTGACAACTACGTAGTCTTGGATCCCATATGAACCCCTTCTCCTACTTCTGAGTCACTAGTTGCAGTTTCAGATCCTTCCTCTCCTTCAGATAGTTCCATCATCACCATTTTGAAGTTCTTCATCCTGCAATTGTGACCCCGGTTCCAGTTTTCACCACATTTAAAACATAATCCTCTTCTACTTCTTTCTTGCAGCGCATTCTGTGATAATCTGGGGCTTGTTTTCTTCTGAACCGAATTTGAAGATTCCTCCTTATCATCAACTGAATAGTCGCCAAATGGGTTCTTGGTTGTACTAGAACTCCCTCTATAGCCATTTCCCCATTTATGGTAACTTTGTCCTGTTCGATTTGTCTTCCATACCTTCTTCCCTTCCTCCTTGTTTCTTCTAGACAATACTTCATGATTCTTATGCTCAGTCAATAGTGCTGTGTCCATAATCTCAGCCAGATTCCTCGCACAATAAAGCTTCAACTCAGCTCTAATGTCCTTCTTCAATCCATTCAAGAAAATTCCCTTAGTTACCTTCCTGCTTAAGACCTAATAAAGGTCCCAGAGGGTTCTGAACCAATTCTGGTTGAAATCGCCTAGTTAAAGCTGCCTTCAAAGTTCCCCAATTCCTCTCACGCGTTTGGTTCTCCCATCCTTGGAACCAGCTAAGGGCTTTGTCCTCCATAGCTACCACCGCTACGTTTACCTTATCATCCTCTTCGATATGATTAAGACGAAAATAACGATCAATTCTGATTAACCACCCATAAGCATCTTCACCGTTGAATAACGGTAAATCAATTTTCCTCCCTGTTCGATGGTGGTGGTGGTGACTATATTCTCTGTGTCGGTGATGATGGTGATGTGGTGGTGAGTAGTGGTTGTTCCCTTCCGAGTCATTTGAACTCACTGATTTTAGTTCATGTTGTGACTGACGCTCCCGATGGTGGTGCTGATGGTGATGCGTAGGTTCATAGTCTGAGTTTTCTCCCGAATCTCCAGAGTGAGTTGATTTTCGTGAATGGCGTGATTGATGGTTGTGCAAAGTGCGATGCGAAGCGGTTGAAGCTTTCGATCTACTTCGCGATCGATCTTGCGCTCGAGCGTCCAATCTGGCGAGAAGAGTCGCCTGCATCTCTGCTAACATCTCCGTGGTCTGTTGTTGATTTCTGTCTACTTTCTCTTCCAGTTCGTTCATTCGTATATCCATCTTCGTTCTTGTCCAGACCATCCACAAAGATCGACGATGCTCTGATACCACTGATAGAACTGTCTAGGTATTGAGAAAATTTACAAAATATTATCAAAGAAAATTTCAAGAACAAGAACTGTAAACTTTATTGATGAAGAAGCTCAGTAACAATGGCCGAAGCCCCAAGAGAGAGATAATTCTCAATCTTCCCAGAAAATACTAAACAGTCAAAATAGCCTCCCTCTATTCTGACTTTACATCTATTTATAGTATCCCACCAACAGAATGTAGTTATTATCTCAAACAGAAATATAACTACACCAACTCTTTTATTTAATACCCTAATAGGTCTGTCCCTAACATGGAGTCATCAGAATTTGGAAGTAGCCAAAACGTAAATCAATCTTTGAGAAGAATTGTGCCCCCCTGAGTTCATCCTAAAAGGTGAGTGATCACTAATTACAACTGAAATTCTGCCTACCTTCTTCCTCCCTCCTTCCCCCTTTTATATCATTTCTCTTCTCAAGGGCTGGCCCATATTTCATGAATTACATGGCCCAAAACATTAATTTATACAATAACACTCTATTAATAATACTCTGTTATTCTTATTATTATTGGTTGTCTATGTCCCTATCAACTAATGATCAAACTCCACTTACTAATAAAAGCTTTGGAATATTAATTACTACCATAGTCACTATAACTACTTAGTTATTCCTACTACTGCAGTCGGAGGACTCAGTACTATCCAGAGTTGTTGATGTTAATGAGTGTTATTACTCTTGACGATGTATACTTGTACTTCGTCAAGTGGTGATCTTGTAAATAAAAATGACATAAAGAATATAAAACCAACATGATACCCTATGTTTACTTGATTTGGGAACATTTACTATTATCATGAAATTCATACTTAACTCTGTGGTCATCCACATATCTCACAATAATTGTTATCTGCTCTTTGACCGAATTACTACTTTATCTAATGGTCTCCACTTATCTTTTTGCCAGATAAGTACTAATACTAAATTTGGGATTGGAAGCAGGGGCATTTCCCCCAGCCCCCAGGTCCTCTATGCCCTAGCGGGAGTTGTGAGCCGACGAGGAAGATGGGAGAAAGACACTCTCTAAAAGCCCCTACTGGCTTCAAAGAACAAGATACTATCTGGCTTTAAGAAGTAATTCAATATCCCAATTTTGTAATTCAATATCCCAATTTTGAAATAACTTTCGGTCCCATATATGAGTCTTCTCGTCGTTGTTAAAAGCAAATAAAGGGGTTCTAAATTTTGAAGCCATGTGAAAAATCAATGCGTTTTTATACATTTTTTAATAAAATAACTTTAGGTCCCGTATATTTACTTTTCATTTTATGTGGCTCAATATTAATTCTTATCAATGAGAGTATATATGCTTGATAAGGTCTGCTTCTTTAAGTATTAGTTCTCAAGTATTAATGAATTTTTTGCTTACAACATATGTACTTGATTGCAGTAAAAGTTTAACTAATTATGCTTCATATAATCAACCTAGATAGTTTGAACTTAATATTAATTAGAACTGGGGCGCAGTAAATTACTGCTCAATTGCAGTACAACATTTCTCTTCCGAAGTGATGTTGAAGTCACTTAATATAACATCTCTTGTTCTGGTTTTGATTTTAGTTTTAAGTTTCGTCAAAAAGAAGTCCTTGATTTATAAGTTTCCCAATTCACTGTTACTTTAGGGATAAATTAGAATTTATAATTTAGAATTTGAAGGTAGAATTTAGAATTTTGCCCTTCTGTCTATTACCTTAGGGATATCTATAGTAAGATGCAAAATGTGGGTATGACTAGGTGGTTCTATGGGGGTATACTATATATTACAAATGAGTGGGAATGGTGCACACCTTGGTTTAAAAAAGCGCGCCTGAGGCGCAAAAATGCGCTAGGCTCTCTAAGGCGAGCACTTTATCGCATCTTACACCCCCAGGCGGCATAGGTTCCAAGAGGCGCACATTATACGGCGCTTTTTGACGCCTTTTGCACATCTGAGAGGCGTGCGCTTCTCACGCCTTAGGGATGTGTCTTTTGGCGATTCAGTCTTTATAGTCTTCTCCCTTCTTCCTGCGTTTGTTTTGCTTCTGAGTTCCGACATCTGCGGTAGCTGTTTCTTGCTCGCGTAGCAGGGCTCGCAAGTCCTGTTTTCCGCTGCTGTCTTGTGTCGCAGGACTTGCAGAGTAGTCGCAGGTAAGTATTTACTTCTCTTCTAATGCGTGTGATAGTTTATTGATTGAAGTACTCCTTATGTATTATTTATACTCGTATTTTATTACCTTGAAATTGCAGAGTTACTACCTCTGTGGGTCTGTTCTAGATCAAGCTGAGTAGGGTACCTAAATGTTGTTTTTGTTTAACAAATACATACGTAGTACTCCCTCTATTTTGGCCTTACCCTTCTGATTTTTTTTTCCGGGAAGCAGCTAGAAGACGGTCTTACCCTAGCAGATTGCAATATTCAGAAAGCCTTCATTTTCACTTCTTTGGTGATATAACCTATTTGCAACTATGCTTGCGGGCTGCGGCTTGACTCTTTATGAGGACATTCTTAGCTGCTGCCAAATGCGAGACTACTTGGGATGCTGGTACTTCAGCTAGAAGAGCAATTCATAACCCTCTCGAGCAGTTCTTTGAAGCTCACAGAAGTGTGGAGGATGATAAACCTGTTGTGTATGGTCGGAGCTGGAAGGCATCTGAGCTTCGTCTCAAGTCCTGGGATGATCTTCACAAACTATGGTATGTACTTCTCAAGGCTCAACGTCAAATGCTTAATGCTCAAAACTTGAGATTTCCAAATCCAGAATGTATCTCCAAGGTAAGAAAGTCTATATGCCGAATCAAACACGTGCCCACAGAGAGGGCGATCGATGAGCCAGATCCTATGAGGTGTAGTGAGATGAAAAGAATGATAAATGCCGTATGAGAAGAATGATAGTTGTGTTAAAAGGAATGAATGAGAGATGCTGTCATTTGATCCAGTGGCAGATGGACAGGTAGTTTACGGAGTCATATATTTTCTGTTTCAAGAATTTTGTGCTGCCCAGATGATTTGTTGGAGCTGTGGACGTGCTCTTTTAAACACATTCTTTGCTAGCTCGTGTATCTGAAAATGGATGATATGTTTGAATCATGGAAGTTTTTTTTTTATTTGCCTGATGTCATCCATCTCCTTGGGTGGGTAGAACAAAAGAGGCAAACAATTTTTAGACAAAAAAATGGAAGCGGTTGGGAGTTGGGGGGATGATAAATAAAGCAAAACTTTATATGAGTATGAGTTACTTAAGTTCAGTTCAAATCGGTTGAAATTGTTATTAATTTTTTTTTTAAATATGTCAATATTTATTATTTTTTATTATATTTAGTTTTGTACTAATGGTCTAACATATTTTGATGTGATATCTAGCCTTATTTAGATGGTTTGTATTAAATTAGTTGATTTGTAAATCTCACATAATCCTCTTGTAATCACTCTCAAACGGCCGAAATGAAACGAGATAGTTTCAAATCAAAATTATTGATGTATATGGACTATGGAGTATAAATTGGGTAATTTACACAAAAAGATCTTTGATTTAAACTTACATATATCTGTTAATCTATGACTTGATGTTTCGATTTTTGCTCTTTTACGGTCAATTACACTGCTCGTACATAACAGTTTGAGTATGATCTATGTGCTTTTCTTGGTCAAATAGATATATCATACTCAAAATTCAAAACAAATTATGTGATATGTGATTAAGATTTATTAGTTAAATCTAAAGCAATGGAAACGAAAAAGGCTTGACTTTGTTTAAATTTTGTGTTTATCAAATTATAGTGTTTATGATAGGGAGGCATTTGAAAATCCAAATAGTGCATGTGGAATTCAGCTTCCGAAGCTCAATTGGAGCTACTCCAATGGTAAAAGTTATGTATAAACTGATCTCAACTAGAATAAATTTTTTTTGTCTCAACTGAGACTATATTAAAATGAGGTAACTAATGTACAAAATAGTTAGTTTTATTCTTAATATGCATTTCCTTAAGTGAACGAGGTAATGCATCCCATTTCCTTTTGCAATTGTATTAAACTGATTTATCAATACTAAACTAATCCTGAAGAAGAAAAAGAAAAACTCTACCCAAATTAATGTTCTGTGATAAGGATTTCTGATAAGACTGCTCCTAAAAACTTACAAGTGTATTTTACTCTAATCATGTTCCTAAACTGATACTAAACGTCGCTCCCATCCCTTGTATGTTCGAATTAACTCATGTACTTTGCTTATTTACCATTTGGCACATATAGTTGGAGTTAGGGGAGAGCAAACCCGACCCTACCCGATTGACCTGATTGGATATATCCGATTTTATTTTTTGGGTCGGATAACCCGACCCGAATGACCTTAACCCGATCCGATTTTTGCAACTCGAGCGTTAAGCGGGTAGTGGGTAGGGTTACCAATTATGTTACCCGACCCGCCCGAAAACCTGAACTAGGGTAGTATATATACTACTTTGAATTATTACGCATGTTCAAATATCTCAATTATTGTATGCCAATTACCATATTATGCATATCAAATATTCCAATTAACGTATTTGTAAAACTATAACTTTGAATGTTGTATTGTTATGATTTTGAATGATATTTTGACCAGTTATCATTTTATTTATCACAATATCAAAAATGCCAATCACCGTATATTATTATTTTACATGTTCTAATATGTCGATTACCGTATTTATACAACTATTACTTTGAATGTTATACTAGTATAACTTTGAATGATATTTTTACCAATTACCATTTTATTTATCACAATTTCAACAATAATAAATTAAAATCCGAATGGACCCGAAAACCGAACCAACCCGACCGAAACCCGAACTTCTTCAACCCGAAAAACCCGATAAATTTTTTGATCGGGTAGGGTTTTAAATTATCAATCCGATACCCAAACAGGTTTACGATTTTTGAACCTGACCCGCCCGAACCCGATCCCTGCTCTGCCCTAGTACTTGGAGTCTGTTGTAAATTTGTTTAACAAATGTGGCTGTTGTGAAGCATTATATATATATATATATATATATATATATATATATATATATATATATATAGTTTGGTTCGAATAAGAACACCATCTAATGAGATAAATAAGAAACAATCTTGACCATTAGATCAACTCATTTTCTCAGATTCTCACGTGTGTGTGCGCAGGCCAAGATGGTCTTTTCAATTTTTCTTCCCTTTTGTACGTAGCTTCCTTTCCTTGTACATATCTTTCCATTATTTTTTTTCAATTTAATAAACCTTTAATTCCTTTCCTTTTCAGTTACGAGTGACATTTCATCTACGTGAAATCAGTTCATGTACGAGGGACTCGACTTTCTGACTACCTCTTCTTCCCCAAGAACTCTGAAGCTCCATTAATGGATAAAGGGTCTGTTTTTTACTCTTCTTTCGTTTGTTCTACTATTTTTTTGGTTTCATTTGTTGTTTTGTTTTCATGAAAATTCAGGACATACTTTATGTCCTCTTCGTTTTTGTTATTGTTTATGATTTAATGGGTCTGTATAATTGCAAAGATTTAATGGCTGATGTGTTCGTTTTTTCTGTTTCTATGGGACGAGTGTAGGTAAAATTCTGGTATTTTTATTCCTGAGAACTTAGTCCAGCAATTCTGTGGTTCTGATACACAATCCTGCCATGGATATCAATTAGCATCAATCCTTTGTTCTTTGTTTTCTATTCATTTCGTCTACAAACTTTATGTCATCTTCGTTTTTTTATTGTTTGTGATTTAATGGGTCTATATAATTCTAAGAACTTAATGGCTGATGTGTTTGTTTCTTCTATTACTATGGTTGAGTGTATGCAAAATTCTGGTAATTTTATCACTGAGAACTTAGTTAAGAAATTGCGCTGGTGCACTCCAATTTGGATGATGATGATGCATACTAATGGTGTACCTAATGCAATTGTAGTTTACTATTAGTAAATTTCATATTGATTTTGTTTAGTGCACCCCATTGGTATTACTATACTCACAAATGTGGTATGTAATGCACTTTTACTTCGATACGTCTGTAAATGTATGTAAACATCTGATAATTTTTTAACAATTGTCTAGGTGCACTCCAATTTGCGATAAGGATGATTTAGGTAATCGGTTCACTTATGACAACGAATCATCTGAAATTAAAGGAGGTGAATATGATGCAGAACCTTCGAGTGAAGATTTACATACAAATTGTGTATGACTCAGAAAAGTTCTGTATGACTCAGAGAAGTTGATTGCACTCACTTGTTGACGACGATGTCCATAAATTGTTTAGATAATACACTTCTAGTGGTATATTATATTTGGTTGTGTGCAAATACGATTAACCCTTTTTATGTTTCACTCGGATTTAGATGACATCGATTCTCTTATGTAGAATTTGTGGTGATACTTTAAATGTCATATTTATCATGAATGAATTGAATTTTTACTAAAATGTTCATTAATACTCTTTTAAATGTGCACTATTAAGTATTTGAATGTGCACCGCTACTATATTGCATTCTACTTGTGCATGACAGTGTCCTGAAATTGTTTACATAATGCACTTTCAGTGACAAATTATGTTTGGATGTATGTATATCACATGATTAACCCTTTTGCATATTTCAATTAAATTCAGATGATGACATTGTTATTCTTATTTGAAATGTGTATGTCAGTAATGTATGTATCCTCATTGCTGTTTTTCTTATGTGGGATTTGTAATGATCCTTCAATTTTCATTTATATCATGAACGAATTGTATTTTTATTAAAATGTTCACTAGTACTCATATAGTCATATGATAGTGCAATATTGTGTATCAAAATGTGCATGGTTACTATATTGTACTATACTTGAAAGGATGTATCACATGATCGAGTTTAATTTCACTACTTTTAAATATGTTCATTACCAATTATACATATGGACTTGTTCAGGGTACCTAGAATTATGTATTAATCACATTACACCTTGAAAGGATGTCTTATATATAAGTTTCACTTTTTGTACCTTTTTAGATGTGCATTACCGGTTGTGCGTCTACTTTAATGCATTATCTAAACATATTTTTCAAGGTTCAAAAAAACATGTTGTGCTCTTTGAAATATAACATATTGCACTACGTACTCTATTCCAATGCACTACATATTGTAAGCACCTTCGAGAGGGCAAAAGTGCACTATACATAATGTCATCCCTTTTGAAAAAGACATGCATTTGATGCAACCATATAATATTAAAACATTCAAAGTAACACAGGAACATTTCCATAAGAGGATTTTCCATGAAACGATTTCATAAAAAAAAAATACATTCATTAATCTAATTCAGGCAGACGTAACAATACAATCAGTAGAGAAATCAGTAATTAAAATGCTATACTCTAATATTACTTCCACTCATTCACAACTCTCATAACACCAACAACCGCAAACATTAAGAGTGTGTATTCTAGCAATCACATACATTAATATGTATTTTCTACCCCACCCCTTACAACTCATGCCCCGGTATTGTTTTTAAATGCTCTTGGATTTTGATTGCAAGTGCAAACTCACTAGCTTTCTTGAAATTTAAATCTTTCAATTCATTCACTTTTACTGATTATTGATGTACAATACTCATCCTTCTCAACTCTTAACACCTTCACCCTGCATCTTGTGACGTGTCTCGTCGTTCAAACTCTGTAAGCATAAGGGTCTTTCAGTTATCTCCAACTCGTGGCTAGCCTCCTTATTTCGGAATTTTCAAAAACCTTCTTGCCCTCAACTGCATATACAGAATACAAGTACTGCACTCAATAGTAAATTATTATGCACTTTAAACTAAAACATTCAGGGTACATGCTATGTACGTTAATTAAAATGCACATACAGAGTAAATGTTATGCACATGTGCATACATATAAGAGTTGCACTTTTTTTCTAATTACCCTGCACATGTGTTGACTAATCCAGTCA